ACCATCCTGACTCTTTTTCCCTAATTAGACTTCATAATTAGTGCCAGGGAAGGTGGTACTTAGAAGTGGGCAATGGAAGGGAGGGGAGGGATTGGACACTACTGTGGGTGATTTTGTTGGCTTTGCTGATTGGATTGGAATTGGAATTGAGTTGAATTAGAATTTGGTCAAGATTCAAGTCATCAAATATTTAATAAATACCAAGTGCCAAGTATTGTGTTAATGAGTAGAGTAAGATCCTTCTGTTCTCAAATAATTTAGAGGTTAGGATATGACCAGGTCACAAATTATTTTATCTTATTTTATAGACCAGGGATGGCTGCTAAAATAATTTTAAATATGAGGAAATGCACAATACCTTGAACCTGGAAGGTCCTGGTTAACATTCCTTGAATGGAAGTGAGAATGAATGAAAGCAAACAATCTGGATGTCAAAGGACACAGAGGTTACTGCTAGTTGAGAATGGAAGGTGGGGCTTGTATAGACACATCAGGAACATAATCCATCATAGTTTAGGAAGGTTACATGTTTGTAAAGGCGTAAGGATTTCCTTTTCAGGAGAGCTTGATTTAATAACTGGAATGTGGAGTTGGAGAGTAAGAAGATTGTTTTTTGCTTGTGCCAACAGCTGAAACGGTGAACAATTACTGCAGATCTGCCAATAATGTCTGCCATCTAGTCACCAAAAAGACTGTTGGGAATACTGAATCAATGGCAATAAAAGCTATAAACAAACAAAAGGACCAAACTATTAATGCATATTCTGTGTTACTAGTTAACAATCATCCTTATGCTTTAGATACTGTCCTAATTGCTGGGCATGGTCCCGGTGGGGAAAGCTTCCTGTGGGAAGGATTCTGTACAGTTCAATACAGGTGAACTGAAAAATGCATGTGATTTTTTTCCACTGTTCACTCAGCTCATTTCCATAGGACAGAGATGGGACCAGTCACGGGATGTCTAGGGGCATAGGGTAGTCTCAGGTGGTGTGTATGAATAGCATACTATCACAAATACCATACTTGTAAGACAAGCACACAAGCATACTTGGGAATTCCCTGTATTACTTACCTAATTTGATAAATGAAATCTGTAATCCACGAACCTGTAAATCTCCTCGAGGCCAGAGCCACTTAGACATTTTGTTTCCGACACATTTTTCCATGTTAGGCAAAGCTTAGATTATTTTAATAAAAAGGTAGTTTCATTCTGGAGCCATCTAGCACCCTCATCCACCAGTCATTTCGTTAGCGTAGAGAGACACACTTATCACTCCAGAGATTCCAAAGGTCTTAAAAGCTCCTGTGTGAGGAACTGGGAGCTAAGACCAAATATTATAACAAAAGATGTTTCAGTTACTGATGGACAAGTACGAGGTGTGTGGGAAGGGGCACAGAGCTTCCATATCCTCTCTGGGCGCACCACCCTCCCAGCACCACCACGTGTTCTCTAACCCAGATGCTCTCCAGACCTCATCATTTAAGGTTTTTATGGATGTTCTATAACATAGGCATGATGATTAAATCACTGGCCATTGGTAATTGAAATAAATCTCCAGCTCCTCTCATCCCTGGAGGTTGAGGGGTGGGACTGAAAATTCCTACCCTCTAATCACAGGGCACATGGTTGGTTCCTCAGGCAATTAGTTTCATTCTGGAGCCATCTAGCACCGTCATCCACCCGTCATCTCATTAGCATACAAAAAGACACCAGAGATTCCAAGGGGCTTATAATCTCCTATGTGAGGAACTGGGAGCTAAAACCAAATATTTATAACAAAAGATGTTAGGCTGGGCACGGTGGTTCACACCTGTAATCCCGGCAATTTGGGAGGCTGAGGTGGGTGGATCACCTGAGGTCAGGCATTCGAGACTAGCCTGGCTGACATGGCAAAACCCTGTCTCTACTAAAAATACAAACATTAGCCTGGCATGGTGGCAGGCACCTGTAATCCCAGCTACTCGGGAAGCTGAGGCAAGAAAATCGCTTGAACCCGGGAGGCGGAGGTTGCAGTGAGCCAAGATCGCCCCACTGCACTCCAGCCCAAGGGATACAGCAAGACTGTCTCAAAAAAAAAAAAAAAAAAAAAAGAAAGATGTTCCTATCACCCCTATTATACAGGACAGTATAACAATTTTAAAAGCTCCGTGTCAGAAACCAAATATATATATATATATATATATATTTTTTTTTTTTTTTGAGATGGAGTCTCACTCTGTCGCCCAGGCTAGAGTGCAGTGGTGCGATCTCGGCTCACTGCAACCTCTGCCTCCCGGGTTCAAACAATTCTCCTGCCTCAGCCTCCCAAGTAGCTGGGACTATAGGCGTGTGCCATCATGCCTGGCTAATTTTTTGTATTTTTAGAAGAGACGGGGTTTCTCCATGTCGGCCAGGATGGTCTTGAACGCCTGACCTCAAGTGATCCACCTTGGCCTCCCAAAGTGCTGGGATTACAGGCGTGAGCCACTGTGCCCAGCCTATATTTCTTAGTATGTCACGCTTGGATCATTTTATGTGTCAACTTGACTAGGCCGCAGGGTGCCCAGATATTTGGTCAAACATGATTCTGGGTGTTTCTGTGAGGATGCTTTTGGGTGAGGTTGACGTTTAAATCAGTAGACTGAATAAAGCAGATTGGCCTCCCTAATGTGGGTGGGCCTCATCTAATCAGTTGAAGGCTTGAATAGAACAAAAGTCTGACCCTCACCTGAGTAAGAGAATATTCTCCTTCCTGATGGCGTTTTTTTTTTTTTCTCAGTCCTGGAGCCAATCCAAGATCAATTGCTGCACTTAATTCTTTCTAGTCTAATCTGGAACAGTTCCTCACCTCAGTCTTTTTTTTTTTTTTTTTTTTTTCCAGAGATGGGGTCTTGCTGTGTTGCCCAGGGTGGAGTGCAGTGGCTATTCACAGGTGTGGTCATAGCTACTATAGCCTCAAACCCCTGGGCTCAAGTGAGCCTTTTGAACTAGAACATTGACCTTTTCTGGTTCTGCAGAAGCTTCCAACCTTCAGATTTGAACTGGGACACTGGCTTTGCAGATTTTGGACTTGCCAACCTTCATAATTGCGTGAGTCAATTTTCCATCTCTCTATATCTCTATATGATATCTCCTATTCTGTTTCTCTGGAGAACCCTGACTAGTATAACAGGTATTTCCCAAGACTCCCCATCCTTGGAGGGCCCCAGACCCCTGAAAGGCTATCAAAAGTACTGCGTAGGGCCAGGTGCAGTGGCTCACACCTGTAATCTCAGCACATTGGGAGGCCAAGGCAGGTGGATTACCTGAGGTCAGGAGTTTGAGACCAGCCTGGCCAACATGGTGAAACCCTGTGTCTACTGAAAATACAAAAATTAGCTGGGCGTCGTGGCGCACGCCTGTAATCCCAGCTACTCCGGAGGCTGAGGCAGGAGAATCTCTTGAATCTGGGAAGTGGAGGCTGCAGTGAGCCAAGATGGTGCCACTGCACTCCAGCCTGGGCGACAGAGTGAGACTCCTTCTCAAAAAAAAAAAAAAGTACTGCTTAGGCTCTCAGCCACCTGTTCTGGAATCAGCAAGTAGCTGATTGGGGCAAAACAGTCCTACTGATGGGCTCACTCTCTTAGGTACTCTGTTCTCTTGGACATTGACCTGGTAGGTATTTACTGCCTCATTATTGCTCGCTTATCTTTGAGTAGATATTTTGTATATTTTGTCCACTTTTCTAATGATCACTAATGGGAAGGTTGTCTGTTGCCCCATGCTCCATTACCAGAATCATTTGGCAAGTAGCCATTTAAAAGAAAAATCCCATTTGTCCATTTCAGTTTGCTAAATCTTATTGCTTTTAATTATCTATCTTTAACTCATTATTATGTTGTTGTTTACTTTACTGTACACGTTAGTTGCAGATTGGGGAAAATACCTAATTCTCATTCAATAGAGTGCATATCATTGTGTACTATTGCAAACATAATCACCATGGAGTTCATTAAGTGTTAAATAATTAGATAATTCATGTTTAAATGTCTATCTTGTGCAGAAATGTTTGGAGGATTGTTTTATAGATGTTTGAGAGGGTTTTAGTGATATTTGGAGAAAGTGGAGTTTCTGGACAGGCTGGGAATATGTTCCTATTTTCTTATTTAAAATAACTTCATATAGGCTTATTTGATCTGAGAATTGTTTTCAGGAATGAATTAACCTGGGAGGATCGTAGTTCTAATTGTAGCATATAGCGTACCTCTGTTTTGCATGCTTATATCACAAATATATTTGTAGGCTTCTTACCATATCACGCTCCCCAGGAAGATGTTGACAAAAGCCTCATAATCCCCTACCTGGAGAGAAGTTAACCAATAAAAGAGTGTCTCTAGGAGGAAATGTAAAGTGGTAGAAAATCGCAAGTCTAATGGTTATTTTTATAGGAACCCTGAATGAAATAGCTGGTTTGCTCATGAGCGTAACCATTCTTGCTTGATTCTTACTTCTGCACCCGAACCTTAAGTGTGAGTGAGCCCAAGAATATTGGCCCATCCACACCTGCCCTCTAAGTGATCTCACAGGCTCTTGGCTTCAGCCACCACCCATAGGCTGCCAACCCGCAGATCTGTGTCTCAGATTGTTCCTGACCCCTGTTAATTCTTACTGCTCCTAAGAGTCTCCACCTGGTGTCTCATCACCTCCCACCTCAGTTCAATCCATGTCAAACCCGGTGTTTCCCTCTGCTCCCCACCTCAGATTCTGCTCTCCTCTACCTCTCAGTCCCAGGTATCATCATCCACCACAGATTGATTAATGGCCCCCAGAAAGTTAGTTACCAAGTCATAGCACCTCCACCTCCTATGTATTTCTTTTTTTCCTTAAAAACTTTCAAACCTACAGAAAAGTTGCAAAATATGTGAGAATAATGAATATCAACATACCTGTTTCCTTAAATTTACCACTTGTGAACATTTTGTCACATTTGCTCTCTCTCTTTCTCTCTCATATATGTATATGTTTGATATATGTATCTGTGTAATAGTAATAGTGATATTATTATTTGTTGAGTCATTTGTAAGTCACAGACATCATGAGACTCTTCACTCCTCATACTTCAGTATGTATCTCTGGAGAACACGGAACTTCTCTTTAACAACTGTAATACAATTAAATTTAGGACATTTAACATTAATTCAATGTTATTTACTATAATAATAAATACATTAATTACAAATCTTAATGTAACAAATTAATATGTTCGTTAGAAGTTTATATTCAAATTTCACTTGTGCCAATAATGTCTTTTTCTACTTTTTTTTTTTTCTTTTTCATTTTTCAGACACAGTCTCGCCCTGTCGCCTAGGCTGGAGTGCAGTAGTGCGATCTCAGCTCACTGCAACCTCTGCCTCCAGGGTTCAAGCGATTCTCGTGCCTCAACCACCTGAGTAACTGGGATTACAGGTGCGGGCCACTATGCCCGGCTAAGTTTTGTATTTTTAGTAGAGACGGAGTTTCACCATGTTGCCCAGGCTGGTCTCAAACTCCTGGACTGAGTGATCTGCCTGCGTCAGGCACCCAAAGTGCTGGGATCACAGCTATGAGCCACTGTGCCTGGTCAATAATGTCCTTTCTAGCTTTTTTTTTCCCCCTCAATCCTGGAACTAATCTGAGATCAATCGTTGCACTTAGTTCTTGTTTCTTTAGTCTAATCTGGAACAGTTCTTCACCTCAGTCTTTTTTTTTTTTTTTGAGATGGGGTCTTGCTGTGTTGCCCAGGGTAGAGCGCAGTGGCTATTCACAGGTGCGATCATAGCTACCACAGCCTTGAACTCCTGGGCCCAAGTGACTCTGCCTCAGCCTCCCAAGTATCCCAAGTAGCTGGAACTAGAGACGAGGTCCTCAGCCTTTTTTTGTTTGTTTTTTGTTTTGACTTTTGTGGAATTGGGAGTCTTTTTTTTTCTTTTGAAACGAAGTCTGCACACCCAGGCTGGAGTGCAGTGGCGCAATCTTGGCTCACTACAACCTCTGCCTCCTGGGTTCAAGCGATACAAGCCTTCTGAGTAGCTGGGATTACAGGCGTGTGCCACCACGCCCAGCTAATTTTTGTATTTTTAGTAGAGAAGGGGGTTTCACCATGTTGGTCAGGCTGGTCTCGAACTCCTGACCTCATGATCTGCCAGCCTCAGCCTTCCAAAGTGCTGGGACTATGGGCATGAGCCACTGCACCTGGTGGAGTTGGGAGTCTTAAACAGCCCATACCAGTTGTTTTCTAGAATGTTCCTTGATGGAGGTAGACACCTTAATCAAATGATCAAAGTTGACGTCACGAACAGAGTTTAGGTTGACATCATGTGTCTTCCAGTGTGATGCAGTAGGTGAGATACAACTTCACCTACATTATATAGAGGACCTGAATCGGATCATGAGGAAACCATTGGACACATCTCTTTCACCCTTAGAATAAAGTCTGCACTCCATAACAAGTCACAGAGGTCTCTGTGATCTGTCACCTTTGTCTCTGACCACATCGTCTATGTGGTAGACACTGGCTGCCCACACAACACCTTTCCCTACATGGCTTCCCTACTTTTGTTCTGGTGGCTCTCAGGGAAGCTTAGGCCCTCCCCAAGTCCGGGAAATGAACCACGATTGGTCCACGTCTAATGCAGCAAGCCCATTCCCACTTGCTGCTAATTGGTTTAGGGATGGCCCTGTGCCCCATTTCTGCTAATCAACACTCACGAGTTCATTTCATGGGGAGCTTCTGGAAAAAAAATGTACTCCTTGATAAAAGGATGGCAAGTTCAGGCCAGGCACGGTGGCTCACGCCTGTAATCCCAGCACTTTGGGAGGCCGAGGCGGGCGGATCATGAGGTCAGGAGATCGAGACCATCCTGGCTAACACGGTGAAACCCCATCTCTACTAAAAATACAAAAAAATTAGCTGGCTGTGGTGGCGGGCGCCTGTAGTCCCAGCTACTCTGGGGGTTGAGGCAGGAGAATGGCGTGAACCCGGGAGGCGGAGCTTTCAGTGATCTGAGATCGCACCACTGTACTCCAGCCTGGGCACAGAGCAAGACTCCGTCTCAAAAAAAAAAAAAGAGGCCGGGCATGGTGGCTCAGGCCTGTAATCCCAGCACTTTGGGAGGCCGAGGCGGGCGTATCATGAGGTCAGGAGATGGAGACCATCCTGGCCAACACGGTGAAAAATAACAGACATTTACGCTTAGTCACTGGTTCTGATTTGAAATAGTATTTTGCAGTTTAGCCTGGGGTGGTGGCGGGCACCTATAGTCCCAGCTTCTTGGGAGGCTGAGGCAGGAGAATGGCGTGAACCCAGGAGGCAGAGCTTGCAGTGAGCCAAGATCGCGCCACTGCACTCCTGCCTGGGCAATGAGCAAGACTCCATCTCCAAAAAAAAAAAATGGAGGATGGCACGTTCTGGACTCACTGCAAGCTCCGCCTCCCAGGTTCATGCCATTCTCCTGCCTTGGCCTCCCGAGTAGCTGGGACTACAGGTACCTGCCATCACGCCTGGCTAGTTTTTTGTATTTTTAGTAGAGACAGGGTTTCATTGTGTTAGCCAGGATGGTCTCGATCTCCTGACTTCATGATCCCCCGTCTCGGCCTCCCAAAGTGCTGGGATTACAGGTGTGAGCTACCGCGCCCAGCCTATATCTTTTTACTGGCTTAAACATGGCAGAGGAAGATATGATGCCTAACGCTGTGGCAATCGCCTTGACAGGCCCAAGGATACTGCAGGATGAAAAGGTGGAGACCTGGTGCTTTCACACTGCACTCATTCTGAAACCATCTGCCAGGGCGGGGTGGGGTGTGTGCGTGTGTGAGATCGTTAAATGTCTCTGCCACGTATGCCATTGTTGGCTCAGTGTGCTGCCACCTGCAGCCAAGCACACTCTTAGCTGACACACCCTGCCTACCTCCTCCTGCTCTCCCACTCTCCCTTCCCACAAGCCCTCTCTCCCCTGGATGCCTAACTCCTACTCATCCTTAAGCTTCAGCAGAGACATGACTTCTTCCAGACACAGTCCTTTATCCTCCAAGACTGGGCCGAGTGCCTCTCCTGTAGCACCCTGTACCTACTCCTACAGGAGCCTTTCTGATCACCAGACCTAATTCCCATAATGCATTTCTCCCTTCGGTCTGGTTACTTTATTGCTGCCTTATTTAAAGTTGCTTTTTAAAAATATCTGTAGGCTGGGCGCAGTGGCTCACACCTGTAATCCCAGCACTTTGGGAGGCCGAGGCGGGTGCATCACCTGAGATCAGGAGTTCGAGGCCAACCTGGGCAACATGGTGAAACTAAATCTCTCTAAAAATCTCTACTAAAAATACAAAAATTAGCCAGGTGTGGTGGTGGGCACCTGTAATCCCAACTACTTGGGAGGCTGAGGCATGAGAATCACTTGAACCTGGGAGGTGGAGGTTCTAGTGAGCTGAGATTGTGCTATTGTACTCCAACCTGGGCAATGAGCAAAACTCCATCTCAAAAAACAAACAAACAAAAAACATCTGTAGAGGGAAGTTTTATGGAAGTATTACTGCAAAGCTACAGAATACATTTTTTTATTAGCCTAAGCCAGGGCTCAGGAAGAAGTGGGAAGAAGAGTCCCTTATAATAGCTGATAGGTTCCCTGTTAGCCTTTGATTCAACCATAACTCAGGGTTGACCTTTTCATGACAAATCCCTAGCTGGAGGACAAGTGTTGAAGTCCTACGGAATGCTGGAAGAAACTGGGCAAGTGTCTAATTGCAAAGTCACACTGCTGGGAAAGTGGAACCTGTATCTGTCTGACTTCAGAGTGTACAGATTTGACTTATGTAATTATAGAGGTGAAGGCTGGAGCAAAGTAAGGGCAAAATGCAGGGACATATATTCTCATTCAATATTAAGTGGGACTTTTTGACCATGATCATTAGTCAAAACTGGAATGGGGCCAGGCACAGTGGCTCACACCTGTAATCCCAGCACTTTGGGAGGCCAAGGCGGGAGAATCACTTGAGCCCAGGAGCTCAAAGCTAGTCTGGGCAACGTAGGGAGACCCCATCTCTGCCAAAAAAAAAAAAAAAAAAAAACCCAAAAAAATCAGCTGGATGTAGTGGCGTGCACCTGTAGTTCAGGTTACTTAGGAGGCTGAGATGGGAGGATCGCTTGAACCTGGGAGATTGAGGCTGCAGTGAGCTATCATCACACCACTGCACTCCAGTCTGGGCAACAGAGTAAGACCCTGGTTTTGGTTTTGTTTTGTCTCAAAACAAAACTAAAAACTGGAATGGGCTGCCTATTTTCACTGGGAAGGTTCACGTAGAAGTTGGATTATCATTTTTTTTTCAGGGATATTATGGAGGGGAATCCCCAGCTGCCTCAGAGTTGGTCTAGATGCCCTTTAAATGCCCCTTCCAGTCCTAGAATTTTGTAATATACAATTCTAAGGTTCTGTGATTTGATGTCTCCTGGGAAATCCACATGCAGCAGTCAGAGACCCTGCCACCTGAGGGCAGTGTTACCACATTTGGTTCAATTGCATAGAAGGAACCAAAGCTCCCCCCAGGGCTCCGACTAGTGAACACCCAGTTATTTTTTTTGAGATAGGGTCTCGCTTTGTCACCCAGGTAGGAGTGCAGTGATGCAATCAGAGCTCACTGCAGCTTCGACGTCCTGGGCTCAAGTGATCCTCCCTCTTCAGGCTCCCAAGTAACCGAGACTACAGGCATGCACCACCATTGTTGGCTAATTTTTACATGTTTTGTAGAGACAGGATCTCGATATGTTGCCCAGGTTGGTCTTCAATTCCTGGCCTCAAGTGATCCTCCTGCCTCGGCCTCCCAAAGTTCTGGAATCACAGGCATGAACCACCTTGCCCAGCCAAGAGTGCCAAGTTCAAAACCATCACAGGGGTGATGTGCCCTTGTGTGAAGGTAGAGAGGGACCCACCGAAGAAGTAGTGTTCCTCTCTCCACCACCCCACACAGTGATTTCTGCCTGCCAACAGATTGGAGAGAGGTCAGAATGCTGGAAGACACACCATTCCCAGAGAGCTCGTGTGTTCTGAGGGCTGGGAACTGGCAGGGAGCCCTCCCTCATGGCGCTGCCCCCACAGCAGCTCTCCAAAGACTAGGAGGGCAAGGAAAGGAAAGGGTCGAGGAGTATTCGATCACAATAGAAACCCTGCCACACGAGGGAAAGTTGACGGACCCAGGAATATTCAGCCTAGAGAAGAGAAAACTTGTTGGGACCTATCCTGAGAACTGACTTCCATGAAGGTTGTTCTGTAGGGCTTTGGGTAGAAACACCAGGCCAGCGGCTGGGGCCAGCGGCTCATGGCTATAATCCCAGCACTTTGGGCAGCTGAGGTGGGGGGATCACCTGAGATCAGGAGTTTGAGTCCAGCCTGGCCAACATGGTGAAACTCCGTTTCTGCTAAAAATACAAAAATTAGCTAGGTGTGGCGGCACGTGCCTGTAATCCCAGCTTCTTGGGAGGCTGAGACAGGAGAATTGCTTGAACCCGGGAGGCGGAGGTTGCAGTGAGCCGAGATTGTGCCATTGCACTCCAGCCTGGGTGACAGAGTGAGGCTCTGTCTCAAAAAAATAAAAAAAAGAAAGAAATAGCAGGTCAGCATGCAGATGCCACCGGGGCACAGGTCTCATCTGGATTGAAGGAAGAACTTTCTGGCAGTGTCAGGAAGGACACTACCCTGGGAAGCAGCTCATTCTTTCATTTCCTCTCTATGTGTTTACTGTGTGCACACTTCAGCCCTGGCAGTCTCTAGTTGCTGAGGATACAGTAGTGAACAAAATGGCTAACTGCCTGCCCTCGCGGAGCTGACCCACTGGTGTCTGGACATCCTGGGAGATGAGATGGAACGTGCAGGGGCGATGTGGAGCATTAGCCTGGATGGACTTGACCTGCTCCGGAGATTCCGTAACTTTCTTGGCTTTAAGAAACCTAGTTTGTTTTCATTTCTCTGATACAGACTTTCAAAATTTGGAAAGAACTTCACCAAGACTGTATTGTTTTCATGGTTTCCAGTAGAAACAAGCCTGTGAATTAGTATATAGGGATGCAACAAAACTTTTTTATGTGGCGGTGGTAAAAATTGCCTTTGGATAAGTCTTAGGAAAATAAAATTTCTCCATTTAAAAAGAAGCTCCAAGTCTAGTGTAGTGACTCACACCTGTAATCCTAACATTTTAGGAGGCTGAGGTGGGAGGATTGCTTGAGCCTAAGAATTCAAGATCTGCCAGGGCAACATAGTGAGAACCCATCTCTAGAAAAATAAAAATTAGCCTGGCAGAGCTACATGTCGGTACTGCTACTGTACTGGACTGGAGGCAGAGGCAGGAAGATTGCCTGTACCCAGGAGTTCAAGGCTGCAGTGAGCCATGATTGTGCCACTGCACGCCAGCCCAGGCCACAGAGCAAGACTCTTTGTCTAAAAAAGCAAAGAAGCCCCAGTTGGTCTATTTTTTTTAATGTTTATTTTATTTAAGCTATATTGGGACATTAACATTGTCAACATGAGGAATTCTTTGTAGAGAACAGCTGGGTCACAGACATTACATATTCCGTCCTTGACATGAACATGTAGGAACTCAACTGAAACAGACCCATCGTTACTGTCATCCAAATGCTTACTGCCGTCCCAGAGAAGCCCTGCTCATTTTCATTTTTCTAATGGCTGGTATTTACGTTCCCAAGTTCATTCTCCACCATAGCACTCTTTATTCTTCACCACCTGTCTCTTCCTGGCTTGCACTTTCTTTTGCATAGTAAACATTCTCAGGATAGATCCAGTTTTCCATTTTCGTATTTTTTCCCTCTCAATGAACCGCAGTTGAGATCTGTATTACCCTGGAAAAAGAGAGAAAGATAGATAGTGAGCAAGGTGAGCAAGTCCATGTGGGTCAGAGCTGGGAACTCTGACATCTTTGCTCCTCTGACATCAGCTCCCTGAGATGCCTAGGAAGCTTCTGCAAAGGCTTCCTTCCTAGTAATGGATACTGTTGAGTCATACCTAGCTTGTTCTGCATGAAGTTCTGAGAGTTAAGAGACACATTCTTTGGGCTTAATGTACCCCTACAAGTCATTGGGTGGGCCCAGAGTGCAGTGCCCTGGGATATAGAGCCCTCCCTGAGAGCCTGCCTGTGATGTGTCACAAGGGGTTTTGCTATTGTGATGTGACCATCTTCCAAAGAAAGAAAAGCTACTGCACATCACATTCCCACAAATGGATTTTTAAAATTAGTAAGGTTTCCTTATGGAGTTCATGGAATATTTGCACCCAGTAGAGCCATTCACAGTCTCACCCCTGCCTACCCTACCCTGCTAGCTTCATCCCCCACCACGCTGCAGGTCTCTGGCCTCATCCTGAGCCCATCTGCTCCAGCCAGCCTGTGCCCTTATGTACCTCCCACCTTTGCACTTTTGTGTGTGTTGGGCCTTCTATCTGGAATTCCCTTCTCTCCTCTGCCTGGTGAAGGATCGGTTTTATTTATTCTCTTACATTTCTGTTAAAATATTTTATTTTTATGTTTTTAATTTTTTTCCTTTTCAGTTTTAATTTTTTTTTTTTTTTTAATTTTTCTGGAGACAGAGTCTCACTGCAACCTCTGCCTCCCAGGTTCAAGCAATTCTCCTGCCTCAACCTCCTGAGTAGCTGGGATTACAGGGACCTGCCTTCATGCCTGGCTGATTAAATAAAAACAAAATGGACAGATCAGGACATGGAGAGTAGACCCCAGAGGCACAGCCTCATCACCTCTGGTGGCAGGATGGCAGCCTGATGGCATGGAAGTAGATCCTTGCTGTGACAGAGCAATTGTACCAGGTCCAGCCAAGCCAGGGCAGGGGACCTGCTTTAAAGGATGTCTAATCCTGGAGCCTAAGACTCCTAGGGGAAGGAGCTGAACTGCCTCCTGACTCTTGGTGTGCAGGAAGCCTCATGAGTAGTCCCCACCTAGGTCAGAGCTCACTGGGAAGGATCCCTTTCAGGTGTTTGCCCTGAAAGGAGATGGTTACACATTAATGCAGACACAAGCTTCTGATTTCCTTAACTTCCTGAGCTAACCATTATTTCAGGGTTAGAGAATTCAGAAAAAGATTCTGTGCCCCATATTTTATCTCCTCCCTAAGCAAATGGTCAGATAAAGCTCAGCTTCACATCAAAGGTCAATGGGGTTATCGCTTTTGGCCAAAACCCAAACTGACCACCATTACTGAAAGATAGCGAATTGTAACTGAGCAGGGAACCTTACCCTCCTCACTAGGGCTGATTCAACAAGATGTTGGTTCAGGGAGGCCAGATATAATTCCGAGAAGCCATGGAGGGTGGTGCTTAGGGTTCAGCCCACCCCACCTCCCAAAGTGAACCAAGTCTTTGATTTTTTGCTGCCCTGGTTAATCCCACACAGATGGCAACCATATCAATCTCCACAGTAACTTCAAATAAAAGATAACTTGCCTTTTCATAGCACAAGGTGTGTGTGACCATGAGGAAGTCACCGAACTTCTCCAAGCTCATTTTCCTCACCTGACAAATGGGGGTAGTTATACCTACCTTGTAGGATAGAAAAGAGAGTGAAAAGCATTTTCCATGCACTTAGCCACCACCACGTTCATTTTTTACATTTTTTTTTTGTAGAGATAGGGCCTTGCTATGTTGCCCAGGCTGGTCTCAAACTTCTGGCCTCAAGTGATCCTCCCACCTTGGCCTCTCAAAGTGTTGGGATTAGAGGCGTGAGACACTGCGCCCAGCCCTTTGAGTTTCCTTTACTTTCCTAGCACTTGGCTCTTGTTCAAGGAGAAACCTCCACACCCTGGCTGCGTGTATCTGGGTGGTTCTCAAACTCAGTCACACATCTGAGTCACCTGGAGGGCTTGCTAAATCACAGATGCTGGGCGCACCCCCGGAGCTCCTGATGCAGTAGGTCTGGAGCCAGGCCTAAGAATAGGCGTTTCTAAGAATGTCCTAGGTGACACTGATGCTGCTGGTCCTGGGACCACGTTTTGGGATCCACTCTTCCAGAATCACATTCTGTGCCTTACTCCTCACTTTCTTTTTGCTTCTGTCCATGGGAAAAGGAGTGATTGATCTTGTTTTTGGAATAAGGAAGGAACCAGGAAGGCAGAGCTGAGCCCCACCTAATCTCTCCTTTTAGATCTACTGCCAGGGATGCTGGGTTCTGATCGTTCCTCTCCTGGGAATAGTGGCTGCTTCCCAGGGATTAAGCCTGCATTTGTTCAGTTCTGCAGTTATCTTTTTTTTTTTTTTTGAAACAGAGTCTTGCTCTGTCACCCAGGCTGGAGTGCAGTGGCGTGATGTCGGCTCACTGCAACCTGTGCCTCCTGGGTTCAAGCAATTCTAGTTCCTCAGCCTCCCGAGCAGCTGGGATTACAGGCGTGCGCCACCATGCCTGGCAAATTTTGTATTTTTAGTAGAGTTGGGGTTTCAGGTATCTTTAATTTTGAGGCAAAGTACGAGGATGCCTATGGTGGACGCACATTAAAGCCACATCCTCAATCTAGAATTATAGCATAGTAAAACTGGTATTTGGGCCAGGCGTGGTGGCTCATGCCTGTAATCCCAGCACTTTGGGAGGCCAAGGTGGGTGGATCATGAGGTCAAGAGATTTGAGACCATCCTGGCCAACATGGTGAAACCTTGTCTCTACTAAAAATACAAAAATTCGCTGGGCATTGTGATGTTCCCCTGTAGTCCTAGCTACTCGGGACACTGAGGCAGGAGAATCGCTTGAACCTGGGAGGCGGAGGTTGCAGTGAGCCGAAATCGCACCACTGCACTCCAGCCTGGTGACAGAGCGAGACTCCCTCTCAAATAAATAAACAAATAAATAAAACTGGTATTTTGACTTTTTTTTTTTTGTTTGAGATGGGACCTCGCTCTGTTGCCCAGGCTGGAATGCAGTGGTATGATCATAGATCATTGTAACCTCAGACTCTTGGGCTCAAGGGATCCTCCTGTCTCAGCCTCCTGAGTAACTGGGACTACAGGTGTACACCACCATGCCTGGCTAATTTTTTTTACTTTTGTAGAGGCAGGGTTTCACTCTGTTGCCCAGGCCGGTCTTGAACTCCCAGGTTTAAACCATCTTCCCACCTCAGCCTCCAAAAGTACTAGGATTTACAGGCACGAGCCACTGCGCCCAGCCTATTTTAACTTTTATATATTTATCTCCAATATTTTTCATCCTTGATTAGTTCTGAATTCAGGGGAATAAAGACTACTTTACATTGTTTCCTCAAAATCCCACCTGCACTCGGTGTTCGAGAAATGGCAGCTGTGATGATAATTATCATTTTCTTAGCATTAGAGACCTGAACTCAACCAGGATTGATGAAATATCCAGTGAAGAATGATATCGTGGGGAACATGAAAGATGAACACACATTGCCATAAGCTTGTGGATGTCCCAGTGACTGTGTACTAAGCACTAGGTACCAAGGCTAGCGTCAAGTGGCATCACACTTGGGAACCGCCCTTCCATGCAGATGGGGGAACATCAGGTCGGCCAGCACCTGTGATACAGGTGAACAACGCCCCACCCGAGGGCTGTGAGCATCTAAAGGGGTTTTGCAGCTAAACAGGGAGGGGAAGAGCTTTGTGCTTCCTGTTGCATGAGACTGGGTGTGACAAAGACTAGAGCTGGGGAGCAGGGGGAATATGGCTGGGTCACATAGTACCACTGCTAGGAGCAAAGCCAGTGCAGGGAAGGAGCGCTCTGAGCGAGGTCGTCCAGAGCAGAGTCCACACCTACCGGCTGTGGCCTAGGACACGGAGGGCCTCACTCCTCAGAAAGGGTTTTCGAGGTGCCTGTCTTGGACACCTGGATGATCTCCACAGAGGTGATGCCCTTGCCGGCCACGCGGTGTCTGGTGCGCAGCTTGTTTAGGGCAGTCTCTGCCATGCCCGCTCGCTCCTCAGCGTCATCCAGCTCGTGCACTGTCTTCCTGTATCGAGCCAGGGTCTGGTTGGCCTGGTCCTCCTGTGACAAAGGCACGGCAGGAAACGGGGCATAAACATGGCTGGTTCTGGTTAAATGTGCATTTTTTTTTTTTTTTTTTTGAGAGACAGTCTCGCTCTGTCACCCAGGCTGGAGTGCAGGGGCACGATCTTGGCTCACTGCAACCTCCACCTCCAGGGTTCAAGCGATTCTCCTGCCTCAGCCTCCCAAGTAGCTGGGGTTAAGGTGCCTCCCACCATGCCTGACTAATTTTTGTATTTTTAGTAGAGATGGGTTTCACCATTTTGGCCAGGCTGGTCTCGAACTCCTGGTTTCAGGGGATCCACCCACCTCAACCTTCCAAAGTGCTGGGATTACAGGCATGAGCCACCACCATGCCTGGCCTCTTTACAAGTTCTTATCTCTGGTATGTAGTGTCTGGTTGCCCCTCCCACTGGATTCCAAGGAGGAGACGCCATGGACATGAGCCTCACAGAATCATCTTAGGGCCTACGCTTGCTTCTTTCCCTGTGGTTAATTCCCAGAAAGGCTGGGGACCTGCACTGAGAAAACAAGCGTCAGGGAAGGAGGAGCAGGGAGGCGCATAGGCACCCACCGCCTCCTCAATCTGCCTCTTGTAGATCTTCAGCTTGTTCTGTAGCTTCTCCACCAGCTCCTGCATGCGCTGATTGGTCTTGTTGTCCTCCTCTGTCTGGAAGATCAGCTCTTTGAGGCGACGCTCGTTCTTACGCAGCGTCTTGACCGTCTCCGCGTGCTGTTTCTGTTCCCCGTCCAGCTCTGTCTCTAGTTCCTTGATCTGTGGGAGGAAGAGAGGAATGCAGCTGAGCGAACACGTGTGTTTTGTTTTTTGTTTTTTTGACGGGGTCCCGCTCTGTTGCCCAGGCTGGAGGGCAGTGGCGTGATCATGGCTTACTGCAGCCTTGACCTCCTGCGCTCAAGCAATCCTCCTGCCTCAGCCTCCTGGAACGCATGGTTTTGAGCTTCAGAGCTCAGTGGCCTCAGACAGGGGCCTTGTGGCTGCAGTATCCGCCTCCTGCCCAGGGGTGAGGGGATGGACCCTGGACAGGAGAGTCGGGTGGGCTCTGCCTTTTACAGGCCATGCTGTGGTTGTCAAACACTCTCTTGAGCCTCAAATTCCCTCCTCTGGAAAATGGGGGTGTCAGGGAGTCAGACAAAATGATGGAACTTTCCGGGCCCTTCCAGCTCTGGCATTTCATGGGGTAAAGACTAAGCCTTGTTTTCTTTCAGTGAGTAAAAAAAGGCAAGGAGTATATTGGGGATTACTCTGCTCAAGGCTAAGGACATTCCAGGGAGGAAGGTGACAGGGAGGGAAGGAGGAGAGGAGAACTTGAGAGAAATTAGAGCTCTTTCCTCAATTTCCTTTTCTCTTTCTTACCCTCCCTCCCTTCTTTCTTTCTTTCCTTCTTTTCTCTTTTTTTCTGAGACAGGGTCTGGCTCTGTCACCCAGGCTGAAGTGCAGTAGTGCTGTCATAGCTCACTGTAGCCTCAATCTCCTGGGCTCAAGCTAGCCTCCCAACTCAGCCTCCTGAGTAGCTGGGACTACAGGCATGTGCCACTACACCCAGCTAATTTTAACTTTTTTTTTTTTTTTTTTTGTAGAGATGGAGGGCTCATTATGTTGCCTCAGCTGGTCTCAAACTCCTGGCCTCAAGCGATCCTCCCGCCTCAGCCTCCTAAAATATTAGGATTACAGGCGTGAGCCACTGCACCTGGTCCTTTCAATTTCCTCTTCTTTCCTAGCACTTGCATAACCCGATTCTTCATCAAACCCAGGACATGTTTTTTGGCAAAAGACAGGCGTCTCACACACACACCCCCCACCCCACCAGATCCCCATTCCTCCCTTAGCAGAGCCCTGCATCGCCCTCACCCTGGCCTCCAGCTTCATGATTGTGCGCTTCCCGCCTTTCAGAGCCAGCTGCTCGGCCTCCTCCATCTTGGCCTGCAGGTCTTTGATGGTGACCTCGTAGTTCTTCTTGATCTTCTCCAGGTGCATGCAGTGGTCCTGCTCTTGCCGGAGTTCTTCTGCCATGCGGGTGGCCTGCAAGTGGGGAGAAGAGCAGGAGTTAGAGCTGGGTGCTACCCAGGCTCGTAGCTCCTTTGAGAGATGTGAGAACTTGTCTCCCTGTCTCTAGGAAACCAACTGGTTGACAGGGGGAGCCCCGCTGACATGCCACTGGGGTTTGGTGGAAGGGGTGCCCTATGCTCCCCTTTGCCCCTGAGAGGGGAGAGGGAGCCAAGCTCATGCCTCCCATCTTCACAGACTCCCACCAGCCGGGCACACTCAAGCCAAACCCTACTGACTGCCCTCTCCATGAGGGGCACAGCATGGAGGGTGGGAAAAGCACAGCCTCTGGAGTTGGAAGACCCAGGACTGTGTCCAGCCCTGAGTGACCTTCAGCATGTTGCTTGTCCCCTCTCAGTCCCTTTCTCCTTACATTCGTTCCACAGATGTTCATGAGGGTCTACGGTGGGCCAGGCATGGGCCTGTGCTCTTGGGAGGTAGCAACAAGTAAGACCAGCAATGTTCCTGAACTCCTGGGATTTCCATCAAGTGAGAGGAGCCTGATGATGAGAATCTGTATTCCTTCATCTTCCAAGTAGGGAGTAAACAGAACCCACCACTCGAGGCTGGTGTGAACACCCGAAGGGATACTGGGCTGAGAGCACTTGGGGGCACATCCTGCCAACGTCCTCCTCTGCGTCCCTGGGCTCATGTCTCTTCCTTTTACTAGCCCTTCCCTCAAGGCGGTTTGATTTTATTGTTTTTGTTATTATTTCATGTTTTGAGACAAGGTCTTGTTCTGTCACCCAGGCTGCAGTGCAGTGGCGGGATCATGACTCACAGCAACCTCAAACTCCTGGGTTCAGGTGATCCTCCCATCTCAGCCTTGTGAGTAGTTGAGACTACAGGCACATGCCACGATGCCCGGCTAATTTTTAACATTTTTAGTAGTTGCTATATTGCCCAGGCTGGTCTTGAACTCATGGCCTCAAGCAATCCTGCTGCCTTGGCCTCCCGAAGTGCTGGGATTACAAGTGTGAGCCACCATGCCTAGCCCAAGGCTGTTTTAATGCATCCCATTGCCAAAAAGCCTGCCCAGATGAACCCACTTTGATGGCTTCTTTGATGCAAGACCCAGGGCGTTGTGCTATAATCTTTCACATGATCACCTAGAGCTTGTAAATCTTTCTTACTTTCATGTGTGTGGCTTTTTAGAAAAGCCTTGGGCTCCTCCAGAGCAGGGCCACATTCTCCCTGGCAGGGAACCACGCTTGGGTCCACAGTGGCCCACGATGGCAGGAGTGGCCTTCCCGCCCAGACAGCCTGGTCCTCAGCAGGCACCGAAACCCTGCCTGCCAGCAGCAAGGGGCACACGCACTTACGTCCGTCATGGCCTTCTTGGCCCTCTCGTCGGCCGAGCGGAACTCACTGATGAGCTCCTCGTGCTCGTTGGAGATGCGTTGGACATCTGACTCCAGCTTGCGTTTGACCACGAGGAGGCTCTGGTTCTGGAGGAAGAAATGGAGATCTCACCATGAGCCAGGAGTCTGCATGGGCCTTCCTGTGTCCAGGAAAGAACACAACCTCTGCCAGACATGCTTGCCCAACCCCAACAGGAAATGGCCCTGGGCCCTCTGCGTGGGGTATGGGTCCCTCTCCTGCATTCTTATTTTATTTTTTTTTAGGCAGGATCTTGCTGTGTCACTCAGGCTGGATTGTGCAGTCATGCAATCACAGCTCACTGCAGCCCCAACCTCTTAGGCTCAAGCAATCCTCCCACCTCAGCCTTCCAAGTACCTGGGACTACAGATGAGCACCACTACGCCCAACTAATTTTTCATGTTTTTAGAGACAGGGTCTGGCTATGTTGCCTAGGTTGGTCTTGAATTCTTGGCCTCAAATAGTCCTCCCACCTCTGCCTCCCATAGTGCTGGGATTACAGACGTGAGCCACTGTGCCTGGCCAAGATTATATATTTTATTTTATTTTTATTTTTGAGTCAGAGTCTTACTGTGTCGCCCAGGCTGGAGTACAGTAGCATGATCTTGGCTCACTGCAACCTCGACCTCCAGGGTTCAAGTGATTCTTGTGCCTCAGCTTCCCAAGTAGCAGCTAAGATTATGGCATGCATGACTACACCTGGCTAATTATTGTATTTTTAGTAGAGATGGGGTTTCATCATGTTGGTCAGGCTGGGATAGATATCTATTTAAGTAAATATATATATATAAATATATATTTAAATAAATATATATAAAATATATAAATATAAATAAATAAATAAATAAATATATATATACACACACATTTTTTTTTAGATGGTCACTCTGTCACCCAGGCTGGAATGCAGTGGCATGATCTTGGCTCAGTGCAATTTCTGCCTCCTGGGTTCAAGCAATTCTCCTGCCTCAGCCTCCTGAGTACCTGGGATTACAGGTGCCTGCCACCACACCCGGCTAATTTTTGTATTTTTAGTAGAGATGGGGTTTCATCATGTTGGCCAGGCTGGTCTCGAACTCCTGACCTTAGGTGATCCGCCTGCCTCGGCCTCCCAAAGTGCTGGGATTACAGGTGTGAGCCACCGTGCCCGGCCCAGGCTGGGATATCTTTTATATCCTGGACTTTAAAGTCACAATTTTACAAAAAGCTCTGCAGATGAGTTTTGAGGATTTGCTGAGTGGGGTGCACTGCCTTCCTCTGAGTTTTGATGGGGGCTCACATGGTTTGGGCACCATCCTGGCCTCACCCCAGCACCCCCTAACCCCCAGAGTGTGGGTGCAAGTGGCACTGACCCAGGAGCCCTGTCCTACCTGGATGTTGATCTCGTTGTGCCGTTCGGTGATCTCCACCATTTCCTGCTCCAGCAGCTTTCGTGAACGCTCGCTGCCCTCCAGGGCACAACGCACCTCCTCCAGCTCCGTCTGCAGCAGGCTCAGGCGCCGCTCCTGCAGGTTGTACTGCTCCCGCAGCTCCTCGTGCTGCCTGGCATCCTCGTCCATCTGGACCTGCAAGTCCTGGGGGGCACAGGGACCCAGCCTGAGCCCATACACTGGGCCATGGTATGACCTTGGGGATGGCCAGACCTGAGGGCGCCGTGACCTTTATCGACTGGGTTCAGCAGGAAACTGGGCAGGCAGGGAGGTCACAGAAGAAGAGTGAGGAACAGACCTGGGCTTGGGGAGCTTATGGTGTGGTGGAGCTCCAGCAGGGCCAGGACCCAGGAAGTTATCTAACATGAGGTCAACGTGAAGTCAAACCTTTCCCGATGATAGAGCACCTGGTGTTCCCAGCACAGCCTTCTCCAGGAGGCCTCCCCAGTGACCTCAGCCAATCATATTCTAATCCTGCCTAGGTTGATCCCCAGCTTTCTTTTGTCCTCTTATTTCTCTTTTTTTTTTTTTTTTTTTGAGATGGAGTCTTGCTCTGTCCCCTAGGCTGGAGTGCAATGGCATGATCTTGGCTCCCCTAGGCTGGAGTGCAATGGCATGATCTTGGCTCACTGCAATCTCCGCCTCCCAGGTTCAAGTGAGTCTCCTGCCTCACCTTCCCAAGTAGCTGGGATCACAGGTGCCTGCCACCACACCTGGCTAATTTTTTTATTTTTAGTAGAGATGGGTTTTTGCCATGTTGCTCAGGCTGGTCTCAAACTCCTGACCTCAAGCAATCTGCCCACCTCAGCCTCCCAAAGTGCTGGGATTACAGGCGTGAGCCACTGCGCCCAGGCTGTCCTCTTATTTCTCCATAGGACTTATCACCAGTTTTAACAATACAGTTTTATTTTTGTTGCTGTCTGCATGGGGATGTTTGTCTGTTTTGTCCACTCTTTGTTTTGTTTTCGAGACAGAGTCTCACTCTATCACCCAGGCTGGAATGCAGTGGTGTAGTCATAGCTCACAGCAGCCTCCAACTTCTGGGCTCAAGTGATCCTCCCACCTCAGCCTCCTGAGTAGCTGGAACTACAGGCACACACCACCATGCCTGGCTCATTTTATTTTTTGTGGAGATGGGGTCTTGCTATGATGCCCAGACTGGTCACAAACTCAAGCCTGGCCTCAGGCAATCCTTTCTCTTCAGCCTCCTGAGTAGCTGGGACTACATGTGAACACCGACTGTGTCCAGCATTGTCTTGTCCACTCTTGGACACCTAAAACAGTACCTGGTTAGGGCACGTCTCCAGTTAGCAAGTGTGGTTCCAGCTCTGTATGCTGTAAAGAACAGTCTCATAATAGAATGATTGTAAAGGGGTCTTCAGCTCTGTTTGTGTTTATTTTTTAAGGCAAGTAGTGGGTATATGAGTTTTGTTGTGTTCTTCATTTCTCTATGTCTGAAATGGTTTATAATAAGTAAAAAATGATTTTACAAATCAAGACAGGACTGGCTGTGGTGGCTCACGCCTGTAATCCCAGCACTTTGGGAGGCTGAGGTGGGCAGATCACCTGAGGTCAGGCGTTGGAGATCAGCCTGGCCAGCATGGTGAAACCCCGTCTCTATTAAAAATACAAAAATTAGCTGGGCGTGGTGGCGGGCACCTGTAATCCCAGCTGCTCAGGAGGCTGAGGCAGGAGAATTGCTTGAACCTGGGAGGTGGAGGTTGCAGTGAGCCGAGATTGCACCACTGCACTCTAGCCTGAGTGACAAGAGCAAAACTCCATCTCAGGAAGGAAGGAAGGAAGGAAGGGAGGAAGGGAGGGAGGGAGGGAGGGAGGGATCAAGATGAGCTTAACTTCCTGTTTCCCTCCTTTGGTCCATCTTTCCAGTTGTCCAGAATTGGGACTTTTGGTGGTTGAGGGCCTCTTCTTTATATAGTCCCCAAGCCTCCTGCTCCCTGGACTGACAGCCACCCCACATTCTCACTCTTATGCCTTTATGCTGGCTGAAGACATGCATTAAGTTAGCCCCCTTTAGGCCTTCAGACTCAACCGATGATAGTGTGCCTTGTACCTCGTTTCTCCTTCTCCCAGATCGCTACCTTGATTTGCTGTTGCAGCCTTTTCAGTGTCTTTACAAGTTCGCTGTTGTTCTTGTTGGCATGGTCCAGCTGGATTTCCATCTCATTGAGGTCCGTCTCCATCTTCTTCTTGAGCCGAAGTGCCTCTGCCCGGCCCTTGGCCTCTGCCTCCAGGCTGGCCTGCAAGGACTCGATTGCCCGCTGGTGGTTCTTCCTGTAAGTCCAAGCAGAGAAGACCTTGACATACTGGGCTAGCTGTTCAGTCTGTGCTAGGCCTCCCTAGAGAAGAGGTCTCAGCATCAGCATGAGTCCAGGCACCATGTTGTGAAATTAAACCCTTAAAAAGGTACAAGACAGGGATGAGGGTTTCATGCTTTGGGGAAATTAAAGGAAGGTCATTTTGTTGATTTAGAGTCACTCTCTGGCTCAGGCTGTAATGGAAAAACCATCACATTCTGTGATGGTGTAGTCATGTGATGATAGCTCACTGCAGCCTTGAACTCTGCGGCTCGAGTGATCTTCCCATCTCAGCCTCCCCAGTAACTGGGACTACAGGCCATGCCACCACACCCAGCGTTTTTTTTTTGGTAGAATGGGGGTTTTGCTGTGTTGCCCAGGCTGGTCTCAAACTCCTGAGCTCAAGGGATCCTCCCATCTCAGCCTTCCAGAGTGCTAGGATTACAGGCGTGAGCCACTGTGCCCAGCCAAAATGAAATAACCTTTATGTTTGAATGGATACCTTTAAGAAAGTGACAAGACAACCCATAGAATGGGAAAAAAATATTTGCAAATCATTACTGATAAGTCTAGTGTTCAGAATATATAAAGAACTCTTACAACTCAACAATAAAAAGAAGCAATCCAATTTTCGAAAGGGGCAAAGAACAGACTTTTCTCCGAAGAAGATATACAAACAGCCAGTAAGCACATAATAGATTCTCTGCTTCATTAACCATCATGGCTAAAATACTACATCTAAAGTGTTCATAGGCCGGGCACGGTGGCTCGTGCCTGTAATCCCAGCACTTTGTGAGGCCAAGGTGGGCAGATCACTTGAGGTCAGGAGTTCAAGACCAGCCTGGCCAACATGGCGAAACCCTGTCTCTAGTAAAAATACAAAAATTAGCTTGGCACGGTGGCACATGCCTGTGATCCTAGCTACTTGGGAGGCTAAGGCAGGAGAATTGCTTGAACCCAGGAGGTAGAGGTTGCAGTGAGCTTGGATTGCACTACTACACTGTGGCCTAGGCAACAGAGCAAGACTATGACTCCAAAAAAAAAACCAAAAAACCAAAACCCCCAAAAACAAAGTGTTCATAAACTAGACACAGTAGTGTGAGGTACCGTCTTTATTTCCATTTCATAGATGAGGAAACAGGTTCAGCGAGGTTCACCTGAATTGCCCAATGTCATGCAACTAGTAGGTGAAAGAGACCCAGGTTTCTGGACTCTGCTCCATCACGCTGCCCAAGAGTCAGCCTCCCATCCCACCAGCTCTGTACCTGGTAGCCTCAAATTCTTCTTCTTTCTCATGGATTCTCCGGTCGATGTCAGCTTTAACCTGAGCCAGTTCCAATTGAATTCGAATCACTTTGCTCTCTTCAACCTACCAGGAATATAAACATGAGTCTTTCTGGCCAAGAAGGTGTGCAGTGCCTGGCCAAGGGTCCACAGTCCCCAACGTGATGGCCCTGTGGTTACCTCCAGGGAAGACTCAGCTTCTTCCAGGGCCACCTGGAGTTCTTCCTTTTCCATCTCCAGTTTTTTCTTCAACTTCTGCAGCTCATGCACACTCCTTCCTCCCTCACCCAGCTGATCAATGAGATCCTTTATCTCCTCTGAGATAGAAATATTCATGTTAATAAGACTCAGCATTCCAGAGTCATGGCAGGTGGCACCATCATTCCTCCATTGGGGTAAGAAGCAGGTCTCCCAGAGTGCCAGGACTGCAGACATGAACCATCATGCCTGGCTATAATCTTATTTCATTGTCATGACAACCTTTTTTTTTTTTTTTGAGACGGAGTCTCGCTCTCTCTCCCAGGCTGGAGTGCAGTGGCCGGATCTCAGCTCACTGCAAGCTCCGCCTCCCGGGTTCACGCCATTCTCCGGCCTCAGCCTCCCGAGTAGCTGGGACTACAGGCGCCCGCCACCTCGCCCGGCTAGTTTTTTGTATTTCTTAATAGAGACGGGGTTTCACCGTGTTAGCCAGGATGGTTTCGATCTCCTGACCTCGTGATCCGCCCGTCTCGGCCTCCCAAAGTGCTGGGATTACAGGCTTGAGCCACCGCGCCCGGCCCATGACAACCTTTTAAGGAGGGTAGAATTATTTCCTCATTTTATTTTTTTTTATTTATTTATTTTTGGGACATAGTGTTGCTCTATTGCCCAGGCTGGAGTACAGTGGCATGATCTTGGCTCACTGCAACCTCCACATCCTGGGTCCAAGCGATTCTTCTGCCTCAGCCTCCCAAGTAGCTGGGACTACAGGCACCCGCCACCATGCCCAGCTAATTTTTTGTATTTTCAGTAGAGACAGGGTTTTACCATGTTGGTCAGGCTGGTCTCGAACTCCTGACCTCAAGTGATCCTCCTGCCTCGGCCTCCCGAAGTGCTGGGATTACAGGCATGAGCCACCATGCCCAGCTATTTCCTCATTTTATAGATGAGGAAAGTGAGGCACAGAAAGATTGAGCAACTCACCTAAAGTTATACTGCTGAATGCTGAAGTGCTTCTGCAAAGCACTTGCTAGTCAGTCAACAAACATTTATTGAGCACCTACTATGTGCCAGGTACTCAACTGATGATGTGCTCAGGACGAAGGGGACTCTGGCTGTGTCCCCATCCCTACAGGCCCATCCCGTCCACCTGCCCTCAGACTCACCCTGCAGGGTCTTATTCTCCTTCTTCACGGACTCTAGATGCTCCAGAGACTCCTCGTAGGCAGTCTTGATCTTGAAGCTCTCCGTCATGTACATGCGGCACTCCTTCTGTGAGTTATCCAGTTCCACCTGCAGCTCCTCACACTTCTGCTGCCACTCAGCCAGCATCTTGTCAAAGAGCCTCTGCTTCTTGTCCAGGGCAGCGGCTGCCGCATTGGCCTAAGGAAAGTTGGAAATGGCCTCTAGGGGTCCGAACTCCCTGCCTCTGTCCCCTCCTCCCACCCCCCACCAACCTCTCTTCCTTCCTTCCCTTTCTCCAGTAACTCCTGAGACTACGGACTCCTTGGGAATTGGAATGTAATTCAACACCTATGGCAGAAGCACAGAACAGAGAGTCTGCAAAGAGCTGCATGCCAGTTCTAAAACTTCCCCCCGCCGAGAGGTGTGTGGCTTGGGGCGTTCCACCTTATTTTCCCAGGTTAGAATTCTCTCAGGTGTCAAATGAGGAGTTTGGGCCACAGTGGCCTTCCCAGATTTACGACATTTGGCCTAACTCCTCTTGATATATTTCACTGTAATGTAGTAATATACATTACACATAAACTCAAAACAGACTATTCTTAGACTTTATTTTTCTATAGAGTTCATCTTTCTCATAACTCCCTGGCAACTATTTGCTGTTGTGCTATATTAGCTTTTGTAAAGTTTTGCTTTGTTTCTTTTGTGGCGTAGCAAAACCTTTTTGAGTTTCAGGACTTTTTTTTTTTTTAATTGAGACGGAGTCTCACTCTGTCACCCAGGCTGGAGTGCAGTGGTGTGATCTCGGCTCACCGCAACCTCTGTCTTCTGGGTTCAAGCGATTCTCCTGCCTCAGCCTCCTGAGTAGTTGGGATTACACAGGCATGTGCCACCACACCCGGCTACTTTTTGTATTTTTAGTAGAGATGGGGTTTCACCATGTTGGCCAGGCTGGTCTCAAACTCCTGACCTCAGGTGATCTGCCCGCCTCAGCTTCCCAAAGTGCTGAGATTACAGGCATGGGCCACAGTGCCCAACCTTTTTTTTTGTTTCAAGAGATGAGGTCTCACTCTGTCACCCAGGCTGGAGTACAGTAGCATAATCATAGCTAACTGTAGCCTCAGCCTCTTGGACTTAAGCAATCTTCCTACCTCAGCCTCCCAAAGTCCTGGGATGACAAGCGTGAACCACCTTGCCAGAACTTTTTTTCTGAAACCTCTCATATGGATGTGACCTTCTACCTATGAGGCCACTTCATGTGGCACATTCTTGTACTGGGCTGCATATGGCCCCTCACAGCCAGCATGAATCATGGTTCCATCTAGACCAAGACCAGGGAGGTGTAGGCCAGTGGAAATCTTATTTAATTCTCATAGACACTGGCAACTCAGTTTGAACCAGGGATGCAAGTAGGAATAGTTAGCCACGCAAAGTATATGGGATACAGTTTGTGGAAGAGAGAGGGGAACAGGGAAGGTGCATCATGTAACTTGCTTTTCTTTTTTTTGGAGCCAGAATCTTGCTCTGTCGCCCAGGCTAGAGGGCAGTGGCACGATCTGGCTCACTGCAACTTCCGCCTCCTGGGTTCAAGCGATTCTCCTGCCTCAGCCTCCCGAGTAGCTGGGACTACAGGTGCCTGCTGCCACGCCTGGCTAATTTTTTGTATTTTAGTACAGACAGGGTTTCGCCGTGTTGCCCAGGCTGGTGTCGAACTCCTGAACTCAGGCAATCCGCCTGCCTCGGCCTCCCAAAGTGCTAGGATTACAGGCGTGAGCCACTGTGCCCAGCTGCATCGTGTAACTTTCAGGGCAAATTTTACCCTGCTTATGGCCCTATTTGTTTATTTGAGACAGTGTCTTACTCTGTCTGCCAGGCTGGAGTGCAGTGGTGCAAGCATAGCTCACTGCAGCCTTGAACACCTGGTTCAAATGATCCTCATGCCTTAGCCTGCCAAGTAGCTGGGACCACAGGCATATGCCACCACGCCTGGCTAAATTTTTATTTTAAAAATTTTGGGGGACTGGGCACAGTGGCTCACACCTGTAATCCCGGCACTTTGGGAGACCGAGGCGGGTGGATCACCTGAGGTCAGGAGTTCGAGACCAGCCTGGTCAACATGATGAAACCCCGCCTCTACTAAAAATACAAAAAATTAGCTGGGCGCGTTGACGGGTACCTGTAATCCCAGCTTCTCAGGAGGCTGAGGAATGAGAATTGCTTGAACCCAGGAGGCGGAGGTTGCAGTGAGCCAATATTGCGCCACTATACTCCAGCCTGGGCAACAAAAGCCAAACTCCATCTCTTTTTTTTTTCTTTTGAGATAGGGTCTCCCTGTGTTGTTCAGCTGGTCTTGAATTCCTTGGCTCAAGTGATCCTCCTGCCTTGGCCGCCCAGTGTGTTGGGATTAGAGGCATGGGCCACTGTGCTCTTAGATCTCGGAAGAGTTCATGAACGCGTGCTCAAGCGGCAGCCGTGTCCAGCAAGCTCCTGAAGGCACCCCTGCGCTGCACCTTCCTGAACCATGTGTTTCTTCCTGATGACCCCAGACGTGTGACAGACTTGCCCTCGCCCTGCTGTGGGCTCTCTGCCCCGGTAAATAGGCAGCTTTAAGCATTTGACCCTCTGACCTTCTCCAAGTCGATGGTGAGGTCCTCAACTTCTGCCTGGAGTCTCTGTTTATTTTTCTCGAGGGAGGCAGCCCGGGCCTGGGCGGTTTCAGCTGCTTCTTCTGCCTCCTGAAGCCTGGCGGCCAGCTTCCTCCTGCAAATGAGGGCCAGAGGGGCTGTCAAGGAAACACAGGCGCTCACAGGCACCACCTCCACATTGCCAGGGTCAGAGTGTGGTGGGCATGGTACTAAGCTCTGGTGTCAACATTGGAAACGATGCAGAGCGTTTACAGGACAGCCACAGCTGCCCATTCACTCTCTTATTTATTCATTCAACAAACACTTTCTCTACTCTGTGCCAAGGATTGTTGCAGGTGTTAGGGATGCAGCACTGAATAAAACAGGCTAGGATACCTGCCCTAACAAATGAAATGTTTGTTCTGGAGCTGGGACGGGGCACGCAATACATGCCCTATAGAACATAAGCACTGCAGTGACAAATAGAGCCAGGAAGAGGACAGGCAGTCCAGGTGGGAGGGGGTGATAGTGTCAAATATAGACTCAGGGGAGACTCTCTGAGAAGGGGACACAGGAGCAAAGGTCTAAGCCAGGGGATGGAGGGGCCCTGAGGGTGTCTGGGACAGAGACAAGCTTAGGGGTTGAGATTTAGGTTTAGCCCAGGAGTGGGAGCCTTGGGGGAACACTAGGTAGTACCCAGCAGCCTCTATAGCAAAGACCTGGAGGACAGAGGTGGAAGTCACAGGAAGGCAAATTTAGGCTCAAGGTAAAAAAGAGCTTAGAGCTTTAGATGAAAGTATTGCATCAGCTGGAAGTCACTATGCCTTATTTGCTATCATATTAGCAGAAATTTCAGTGGATGGACGGGACCAGCCAGCAGGCTGGGATCCCGGAAACACTTAGAGCACATGTGCCATTTTCTGTCTAATTTGGCTTTATACAAGAAAAAATCTGACTATTTTTTCAGAGAATCCAGAAAAGTCTATAGAGGAGTTTGTTAAGTTGACCATGTTCTTTGATTTAACTTGTCATGGATCCCCTCTGCTTCCTGACCCAGGGTGGCTCACTCACAGGGCTTCCCTGCGTGCATGGGCCCAGGGGCATCCAGGCCAGCCTCCTTTTACACCAGAGAGAGGCCCACTTCCATGTCCCCCCTTATTTCCTCAGGTGTCCACTTCTGTAGTTTTTTTTTTTTTTTAGAGACAGGATCCTTCTCTGTTATCCAGGCTGAAGTGCAGTGGCTCGATCATTGCTCACTGCAGCCTCCAATTCCTGGGCTCAAGCAATCCTCCCACTTTAGTCTCCCAAGTAGCTGAGACTACAGGCACGTGCCACCATGCTTGGCTAATTTTGTAATTTTTTGTAGAGATGAGGATCTCACCATGTTGCCCTGGCTGGCCTCGAACTTCTGGGCTCAAGCAATCCTCCCACCTTGGCCTCCCACAGTGCTGGGATTACAGGCCTGAGCCACCATTTCTGGCCCACAGAGCAGGCTCCTTTGTCCACACACATTGTCCTCCTCTTAAAGGAGCCTGTGAATGTCCTTCTCCTGGGCTTGGCCCTGGCCGTAGCAGTGATTGACATGGTGGTGAGGCCCCCAGCGCCACCTGCCCAGCCCACCTGGCTCTCCCAGCAGGAGGACCACACTCACTTGGTCTCCTCCAGCTCCTCTGTCCTCTGGATGGCATCGGTCTCGTATTTGGTCCTCCAGGTGGTGACCTCGGTGTTGAGTTTGGATACAAGGCGCTGCAGCTCCGACTTGCCTCCCTGCTCCTCCTCCAGCTGCTCCTTTACTAGGTCCAGGTCGTGTTTGGTGTTGGCCAGGCTCACCACGGCGGTGCTGCGAGACTGTGGGGACCCGCGTGTCAAGGGCCGTGGGGGCTTTCCGCAGCCCACAGGGCCACCACTTAGATACACATAACACTGGAGCAGCAGTGATGGCAGGTGAAAGGGGGAAAAGATACACAATCCCACAATCCAAACCACTGGGGTTTTAATTTTCATCCTGTGACTTCTTCTCATTCTATTATTGTCCACAAGGATATGTAATTTCATTTAGTTGTACACATCACATCCTACAGTTTTGTAGTTAGCTTTTTTATTTGCTACGATATCAAATGCTTTTTGTGCTCCTTTGACATCTTCATAATCTGTAACTTTCTTTAGCTAGGACTATAGGTGTACACCACCATACCTGGAAACTTTTTTTTTTTTCTGAGACTGAGTTTCACTCTTGTCACCCAGGCTAGAGTGCAATGGTGCGATCTCAGCTCCCTGCAACCTCCGCCTCCGCCTGTCTCAGCCTCCCGAGTAGCTGGGATTACAGACACTCACCACCACACCCAGCTAATTTTTATATTTTTAGTAGAGACTGGGTTTTGCCATGTTGGCCAGACTGGTCTCGAACTCCTGACCTCAGCTGATCCACCCACCCTCGCCTCTCAAAGTGCTGGGATTACAGGCGTGAGCCACCACGCCCAGCCAACTTTTTTATTTTTTATTTTGGTAGAGATGGGGTTAGAGGGGGTTGGGGGGGGGTCTTGCTGTGTTGTTCAGGCTGGTCTTGAACTCCTGGCCTTAAGCGAACCTCCCACCTAGGCCTCCCAAAGTGCTGGGATTACAGCCATGCGCCACCAAACCCAGCTGTAACCTGTAACTTTAAGGAGGCAGCTGTCTCCACCACAACCCCACCCCCAAACAAACCTTTGACTCTTCATCCAGCTGCCTCTTGTAATCATCCACTTGTGACGTCAGAGATGTCTTTATCCGTAGAATTTGATTGAGCCGGCTCTGGGACTCCTCATATTCCCTGCTCAGTTCACTATTTTCAGCTGGGTGAGAAGGGAATGGAAGAAATATTGGATGAAGAACTGGTTCCCCAGCCAGATCCTAAGTTCCCCAGGGCATTGCTCCTAAAGTACCCAATAAATATGGTGACTTGGCCAATGGAACTGGAATGGGGAGCATGGTGGATCACCACTCTAGCCTCCAAATTAAGTGAGCCCAGGAGAAAGACAAGTGCTCAAGGGTTACCAAGATCCAGGTAACCTGCATGGACTTAGGGGCCTCACATAATGAAACCCCCATCTCCTACATGTCAGGAGATGCAGTGGAGGAGTTTGGAGAAACAGTGGGACAGAGACTATTTCCTTTGTAAAACGTATTTGTCACCATTCCAGAACCTACACTCCTGTCAATTGTGGGATGATCACTGGAGCCAGAGGCCAGGAAGAAGTTCATGAGCCCGAGAGAAAAAGCAAGGATTTCCAGTTCTACCCTGTAAGTCACTGAGCTTACTGAGCTTCACTTTTCTTATCCATCAAGTGGGGATATTGATTTTTTTTTTTTTTGAGACGGAGTCTCGCTCTGTCACCCATGCTGGAGCGCAGTGGCGTGATCTCGGCTCACTGCAAGCTCTGCCTCCTGGGTTCACACCATTCTCCTGCCTCAGCCTCCTGAGTCACTGGGACTACATACGCCTACCACCACACCCGGCTAATTTTTTGTATTTTTTTTTTTTTAGTAGAGACGGGGTTTCACCGTGTTAGCTAGGATGGTTTCGATCTCCTGACCTCGTGATCTGCCCACCTCGGCCTCCCAAAGTGCTGGGATTACAGGTGTGAGCCACTGCGCCCAGCCTTTTTTTTTTTTTTTTTTTTTTTGTGAGACTGAGTTTCACTCTTGTCACCCAGGCTGGAGTGCAGTGGCGTGCTCTCAGCTCACTGCCACCTCTGCCTTCCGAGTTCAAGTGATTCTCCTACCTCAGCATCCCAAGTAACTGGGATTACAAGCATGTACCACCACGCCCAGCTAATTTTTTTTTGTATTTTTAGTAGAGACCTGGTTTCACCACATTGGCCAGGCTGATCTCGAACTCCTGACCTCAAGTGATCTGCCCACCTCGGCCTCCGAAAGCGCTGGGATTACAGGCACGAGCCACTGCGCACAGCCTGATATTGATTTTTTTTTTTTTTTTTGAAGTAGAGTTCTGCTCTGTTGCCCAGGCTGGAGTGCAGTGGCACAATCATAGCTCATCGCAACCTTGAACTCCTGGGCTCAAGTGATCCTCCTGCCTCAGCCTCCCAAGTAGCTGGGACCACCAGTGTGCGCCACCACACCCAGCTATTTAAAAAAATTGTTTTGTAGATATAGGGTTCTTGCTATGTTGCCCAGGCTGTTCTCAAACTCCTGGCCTCAAGTAATCCTCCCGCTTTGGCCTCCCAAAGTGCTGGAATTACAGGTGTGAGCCACCGCACCCAGCCAGGATATTGTCAAAGAATTCCAAACGTGAGAAATAAGGCGAAAGGGTGCCTGCAAGTTCCGGTGATGTTACACCGGAGCACTAACAGGCCCACCTGCAGACTATTTAGTTCTCTACGGAAATGTGCCTTTGTTTGACTTACTGTTTACCCCTGTGTTATTAGAGCACAGCTTCTGCAAAGTTAGAAATCGACTTATACATTGATAAATTGCCAATTATTTTTGTTACAGAGATGCAAAGATGCATTTCTATGACAAAGGTGTGTTTCTTCCGGCAGGGGGGAAAACAAACCCTAAACTAAACCTGAGGTTACAGTATTATTGTCCGATAGGATATTAACTAGTTCTGCATCTAACTCAGCAAAGTTATTTTAGCATTTCTTTTCCCAGCTGAAATCTCTGCCTTTCAAATGCTCTTTGAAGGCAGTTTTACCATTTTTTCTGGTTCCCTCATTAAGGAGTTAAATAAACCCTTGACACATGTTCGCTTTCTATTGGTATGTGGGTCATGTTTAAAAATGTTTGAAAATTGTATTTTGTCAGCATGAATGCCTCTCCTGCTGATCTCACCGGGAAGGTGAGAGAACGGATACGAAAATGCATTGAATTGTGTTCCCTGTTTTGCATTGTAAAGATGTTACTTGGAATATTCAGCAGATGGAATAAAATCTCCTCGTCTCATCACGAGGGGTTTGGATGGGAATCTTCCAAGGCCAAGAAAGCTCTGTTTCCTTGAGTATCCCAGTTCCTTTCCATGCACTGCTCCTTAGCAAGCTTCAGGGCGGAGAGGGCTCACCTTGGAGGTGGGTCCTGATGGCATTGATTTCTGCCTGGTTTCGCTCTAGCTCTGCCACCTTCGCATTGGCTTCTGATAAGCTGTCTTCCAGCTTTCTGACGTGGGCCTCGGCATTCATCTGCTCAGGAAGGATGAACTCAGTGGGGAAGTTGCGGGTGGGGGAGGCCAAGCCCTCCCTACTTCCCCATTGATTTTTGCCCTGTTCCTCCTGTGTGCCTCCCAGGCTACCTGCCTAGTCCTTCTAGAATGCCCCTGTCTCAGAAACCCCAAATGGCTCACCATTGCCTTTTCTTTTCTTTTCTTTTTTTTTTTGAGACAGGGTATCACTCTATCACCCAGGCTGGAGTGCGTAGATGCAATCATAGCTTACTGTAGCCTCGACATCCTGGGCTCAAGCCATCCTCTCACCACAGCCTCCTGAGTAACTGGGACCACAGGTGCATGCCACCATACCTAGCTAATTATTTTTATTTTTTGTAGAGACAAGGTTTCACTGCGTTGCCCAGGCTGGTCTTGAACTGGGCTCAAGTGATCTGCCTGCCTTAGCCTCTCAAAGTGCTGGGATTACAGGCATTAGCCACTGTGCCTGGCCTACTGAGCATTTCTTATGTGCCAGAAACTATTGCAGCCCTCACAATAGCACTCTAAGGTGGGGATTATGACAATTGTCTTCATGTTATAGATGAAGAAATTGAAGCACAGGTTATTGTTATTTTTTATTTTTTATTTTTATTTTTTGAGACAGAGTCTCGCACTGTCGCCCGGGCTGGAGTGCAGTGGCACAATCTCGGCTCACTGCAACCTCTGCCTCCCAGGTTTAAGCAATTTTTGTATTTTTAGTAGAGACAGGGTTTCAGCATGTTGGCCAGGCTGGTCTCGAACTCCTGACCTCAGGAAATCCGCTTGCCTCAGTCTCCCAAAGTGCTGGGATTACAGGCGTAAGCCATTGTGACCGGCAGGTTATTTTATTTTATTTTATTTTATTTTATTTTATTTTATTTTAGAGACAGGGTCTCGCTCTGTTGCCCAGGCTGGAGTGCAGTGGCGCAATGATATTCATTTCACTGCAGTCTCAACCTCCTGGGCTCAAGCAATCCTCCTGCCTCAGCCTCCTGAGTAGCTAGGACTATAGGCACATGCTCCCATCCCTGGGTAATTTTGTTTTTTGAAGAGATGAGGTCTGGCTATGTTGTCCAGGTTGGTCCCCAACTCCTGGCCTCTCAAAAGCGATCCTCCTGCCTCAGCCTCCCAAAGTGCTGGGATTACAGGAGTGAGCCACTGTGCCCGGCCCACAGTTAGGTTATTCACCTTGGACTTCTGTATCGTCTCCACACTGGCACTGAGGTCGTCAATCTCGGCCTTCATGACCTGTTTATCCTTCTCCAACTTGGACTTGACCCTCTGCAGGCTCTCCACACGCTCTGTCAGCTCGGCCATGGAGTCCATGTGCTTCTTGCGCAGTGTGGAGGCCGTCGCCTCACTCTGCAGGGCGGCCTCTTCCAGCTCCCGCCGCAGCTTCAGCAGCTCAGCCTCCCGCTTGCGGTTCTGCTCGATCTGGGGTAGAAGAGGAGCGGCTTAGCAGAAATGGCCAGTGCCAGCCTTTTTGGGGTGGACACCGCCCAGCTGCTCGGTGGTTCCCTGATTTTCCCGCACCTCGCTAAAAGAAGTCCTGCTTGAAATGCCAATGCTTAGCCTTTGGGGGGCAGGGGTTGCCCACAGGAATTGTTTAGGGAGTGTTGTGTGTTAAATTGTACCCTCCAAAAAGATATACTCAAGTCCTAACCGTGGGTACCTGTGAATGGGACCTGATTTGGAAATAGCGTCTTTGCAGAGGGAGCTAGTTAAGATGTCATACTGGATTAGGGTGGGCCCTAAGCTAACGACTGATGTCCTTTTTTTTTTTTTTTTTTTTTTTGAGAAGCAGTTTCACTCTTGTTGCCCAGGCTGTAGTGCAGTGGCATGATCTCGGCTTGCTGCAACCTCCGCCTCCTGGGTTCAAGTGATTCTCCTGCCTCAGCCTCCCAAGTAGCTGGGATTACAGGTGCCTGTCACCATGCCCAGCTAATTTTTTGTGTTTTTAGTAGAGATGGGGTTTCACCATGTTGACCAGGCTGGTCTCGAACTCCTGACCTCAGGTGATCCACCTGGCTCAGCCTCCCAAAGTGTTGGGAGTACAGGCGTGAGCCACCGCACCTGGCTGGGCTCTCAGATTTCTACTCACTATATTCCTGCCCTAATCACTCCAGGTCCAGGTACCGACAACTAGGATCAGCTCCACAGTCCACTGAGACTGTCCAGACTGGCCAGTCAGGAGCCTGTTCACCCTGTTTCACCTGTTCCTTCCCATGGGAGCCAGAGTAAAGGCCTGTGCCTACATTTCTTCCTGGCCATCTGCCTCCTAACCAGCCTCAGTGCCTCTCTCTGGCCCTGCGTGGCCTGCTGTGCCCTGGCTTCTTGGGAACTGTGAGTAGCAAACTCTTTCTGTTTGTTTTCAAGAGACAGGGTCTTGCTCTGTCACCCAGGCTGGAATGCAGTGGTGCCATCATGGCTCACTACAGCCTCAACCTCCCTGGGCTCAAGTGATCCTCCTTCTTTAGCCTCTTGAGTATCTGGAACTACAGGAATGTGCCACCATGCCCAGCTCCTTTTTTTTTTTCTTTTTAAGAGATGGGCTTTTGCTGTGTTGCCCAGGCTGGTCAGAAACCCCTGGGCTCAAGTGAGCCTTCTGCCTTTGCCTCCCCAGGTGTTGGGATTATAGGCGTGAGCCACTGCTCCAGGCCTCATTTTTAAATTATTAATTGGTTTCTCCTCAAGTCTGTCTCAGGAACCTAGCAAGAATGAACTGGTCTTGATCAAACTGCTTATAGTCCGGCATTTTTTCTCCCTACGTGTGGGCAGGGCTGGGGGTTTCTGGGCCCCCTGGGATGGGTACCTGAGCCGATGTGGCTCCACCCGCTTCCTCCAGCCTGTCACTGAGGTCTTCGAGATCCCGGGACAGGTCACTGCGTTGTTTCTCCACCTGGGATGAAAATTTTTGTTTTGAGATAGAGCCTTCCTCTGTGGCCCAGGCTGGAGTGCAGCAGCACCATCTTGACTCACTGCAACCTTCACCTGCCTTGCTCAAACAGTCCTCTAACCTCGCCTCCCGAGTATCTGCAACTACAGACACGTGTCATCACACCCAGCTAATTTTTAAAGTTTTTGTTGAGATGGGTTTTCACCATGTTGCTCAGGCTGGTCTCGTGGTCTCAACTGATCCTCCTGCCTTGATCGCCCAAGGTATCTGGATTACAGGCATGAGCCACTGTGCCTGGCCATGGGATGAGATTCAATGATACCAATGATAATCACCCAGAGCTCCTTTTTCTCCAGTAAAGAGCATGATGACTGCTTCACCTTTGAGAAGCCAGGATTCTGTGCCTGGGGGCCTTGTGCCCTGCCTGTCATCAGTGAAGGACACTGTCTTCCCCACACTGGGTGGGCATTAGTGCCCGTCCTACCCACCACCTGTCCAATTTGGCTGAATTTGGGATTAGGTACACTGTGATTTGTCTCCCACCAGCTTTCTGGGCTCATGCCGTGTAGGATCCCCACCCTCAAGCCTCCCTCCATGCTCTGTTCTTGCGAACAGGTGCTTTCTCTGTTTACACTTTCATCCCAATGAAGGTAGGTGCTATTTTACTCCCTTTGCCCAGCCCTTCCTCCCTGCGTCTACCTGTTGAATTCCATCTTTGAGGTCAAGTGTTCCCTCCCCCATCTCTCCCGGGTAGAACCAGCCTCTTCTCCTCTGGACTCAAGCCACACAAAGCATCTGCCTTTCACGTAATGATTAATGTGAATGTGCAGTTCAGTCCCTGGCACACAGCAGGTGCTCAAGAAGCAACTAGACTTTTTAACTGGACACCTGCCTTCTCTACTGGTTTTCTTAGAGGAGGTTTCTATCCATGGTTGGATGTATGGCTGCCGTTACGTCTTTTGACTCAAGAAGGGGAAACATATTTCATTTACCTTGGCTCTCATGGCCCTCTCAGCTTCTAATTCTTCCTCCAGCTCTTCAATTCGGGCCTAGCAGACAGAGAAGGGAGGGGATTCATCTCTCCCAGGCAAAGTTAGTAAGTTAGCCCCTTAGCCTTTTAGGACGGAAAATAGGGATGTGAGAATATGAGAGCCACTGTCAAAAGCAGAGAGAGGCAGATCCCAGAGAGCACGCACAAAGGCCCCGGGGCAGGGAGGAGGGGGCCTGGCATGCGTGACACCCAGCCAGGAGCCAGCATGGCTGGATAGAGTGGAGGGAAACACTCGGTAATAAGGTCAGGCGGGGAGCAGTTGGAGGGCCTCATAACCATGGTAGGGACTTTGGATTTCACCCCTAGTGAGGGGAACATGGGTCGATCTCCAAGGACTCTGTGGCACTCTCGCTCCTCAGGAAACCTCAGCCACCAAGTAGCTGATGCGAACAAAGGGTTCAGAGAAGTGCATTTCTGACAGAGAGCTCATGCTTCTTGGTCCTAGACATACCTGGTGCTCCTTCAGTTTCCTTTGCAGCGTGGAATTCAGAGACTGCTCATCCTCATATTTCGAGTTGACAGAGTTTATTTCCAAATCCCTCCTGCAAGGGAAGGGTTGGTCTCCTGAGGAAAGGCTCTGAGGGCAGACCAGCGAGCTGGTGAGGGAATGGCGCCTGGGCTGCCAGAGGCCTTGAACCTGCCGAAACGCACGCACTTCCCAGCCCCTTCTGGCCTTCTGTGGTGACAGCCCAGAAGGTCTCACGCTACAGAACAATTAGACCCCTGAATGAGCTCCTCAAGCATTTCATCATTCATTCATTCATTCACACATTTACTAATGTGACACTTTTTTTTGAGACAGGGTGTTGCTCTGTCACCCAGAATGCAGTGCAGTGGTATGATCATGGCTCACTGCAGCCTTGACTTCCTGGGCTTATATGATCCTCCCACCTCAGCCTCTCTAGTAGCTGGGGCCACAGGCTGGCTCAATCGTGCCCAGTTAATTTTTGTATTTTTTGTAGAGACGGGGTCTTGCTACATTGCCCAGGCTGGTCTTGAGCTCCTGGCCTCAAAGCCATCCTCCCGCCTTGGCCTCCCAAAGTGCTGCGCTTACAGGCATGAGCCACCGTACCCGACCTGGTCACAGGCTTTTATGATGCCTCCCTGCCTTGCTGAGTCCTCAGTGTTCCCTGGGATAGTGGTGCTCGCCTCCTCTCCAGTGCCCACCAGGTATTGTGTGACGTTGAGTGTTGCCTGTGGACAGGGCAGCCCCTACCTCTCTGCATATCTTCCATGCCTGGCAGGTGCTTGGGACATGCATGAATGTATGTGAGGCCCTCCGTACAGTGACTGGCTCCTGGCGCCCTCCAGGCAACTCCATCTATTGCTACAATTGTGACGGACAGAACGAATGAACGACAAGACATACTTTTTCACCACCTCCTCGAGATCCAGCTTGGAACGCTCCATCTCATTGAGGTTGTCGATGGTCATCTTCAGGTCACTCTCAGCTTTGCGACGAGCCTTTTCCACCTCCGCCCGGATTTTCTTTTCCTGCTCCCAGTTATCCTCCAGCTACGGAGACAAGAACAGCAAGAGAAGGTAGACGAGGAGAGACTGAGGTCAGAAGGCAAGAAGGAACCAGACTGGGTCCGATCCTTTAGCTGTGGCATCAGAAGGGCCCTCACGCCCTGGGGGATGTGTTGGTCCAGTTCTCAAAACTTATCTTCGGACCCCGTGCCCCCAGAGGGATCTGGCCTTGGAGTTGTAAAGGTGGCCATGGCAACGGGTATTACCTCGTGGATCTGTGTGCTCAGCTTGCTGTTATTCTTGGTCAGGTGGTTCACCTTGTCCTCCTCAGCCTGTAGGTCATCCAGGGTTTTCTAGAAGGACAGATACACACGTGAGTGCCATGAGGCCCAGTGGGAGCAGCTGAACAGTCCTGATCCTCAGTCATCACTTCTGAGCCATGCAGCTCCCAGGCTTTGGGGAGTTCAGTTGACTTTAGTGAGTAGGTACTGAGCACCTGCTCCTGGGTGTGGGTGAGGCCCGAGCAGATGGACCAGAGCCACCCATCAGGGAGGTCAATTGCGTGAACCAGGAAAGTTGAGGCTGCAGTGAACTATGATCATACTACTGCACTCCAGCCTGGGTGACAGAGTCAGACCCTGTCTCTACAAAAAATGCAAAAATTAGCCAGGTGTGGTGGCACACGTCTGTAGTGCCAGCTACTCAGGAGACTGAGGCAGGACGATCACGAGCCCAGCAGGTTGGGGCTGCAGTGAGCTATGATGGCACCACTGCATTTCAGCCTGAGCAACAGTGGGACCCTATCTCTGGTTCCCCAGGGGGCATATGGGAAATAGGTGGGGTGCTTTTGGTTGTCACAGTGATTGGAGGCCCCTCTGACATTTAGTGGATGACTCCAGCGATGCTGGACATCCCATTTTGCTCTGGACCATCTGGTACCATGAAGAAGAATTCTCTAGAACACATTCCTGATGTCACACCCAGGCACTCATGTCAGTAAAACAACCATTTCTGCTCTTCTAAACCTAGAGCCTAGCACCCTTTTACATGTAACTCAATGTTCTTTTTCATTTCATATGCACTACAATTTTTGTTTTTTTGAGATAGGATCTCACTCCATCACTCAGACTGGAGTACGGTGGTACGATCATAGCTAACTGCAGCTTCCACCTCTTGGGCTCAAGCAACCCTCTTGCCTCAGCCTCCTGGCTAATTTTTTTTTCTAGTTTTTGTAGAAACAGGGTCTTGCTGTGTTGCCCAGGCTGGTCTTGAACTCCTGGGCTCAAGCAATCCTTCTGCCTCAGCCTCCCAAGTAGCTGGGACTAGAGGCGCACGCCAGCACACCTGGCTAATTTTTAAATTTTTTGTAGAGACAAGGTCTTGCTATGTTTCCCAGGCTGGTCTCAAACTCCTAGGCTCAAGTGATCCTCCTGGCTCAGTGATCCTCCTGTAATCCTCATGCTAAGATTACAGGGATGATCCACGGCCTGCACTGGCCTGTACTACATTTTATTTTATTTTTATTTATTTATTTATTTTGAGACAGGGTCTCGCTGTGTTGCCCAGGCTGGAGTGCAGTGGCATGGCCCACTGCAACCTCTACCTCCTGGGTTCAAGCAATTCTCATACCTCAGCCTCCTGAGTAGCTGGGACTACAGCTGTGTGCCACCACACCTGGCTAATTTTTGTATTTTTAGTAGAGACAGGGTTTCACCATGTTGGCCAGGCTGGTCTCAAACTCCTGACCTCAGGTGATCTGCCCGCCTCAGCTTCCCAAAGTGCTGAGATTACAGGCATGGGCCACAGTGCCCGGCCTATTTGTAGATTCTCTATTTGTCCATTTACCTACTCCCCAAAACATATTTGCAATCCAAAATCACTACTCGCAACACTTTCTCATGGTTATTTGCAAACATGCATGTGGGGTGGGGAGAAACTTTGATGCGCACATTCTCTGCTGAGGTTGAACAAAGTGCCTTTTTGTTTCAGCCTCATACTGTAAACAAATGTCATTTTTATGCTGTATTTAATGCCATGGCTTTATTTATTTTTTTTTTATGGGGGGTTTTGCTGCTTAAAATGACCCCCAAGCACAGTGCTGAAGGGCTGTTGAGTGTCCCTAAGTGCAAGAGGGCTGTGATGTGTGTGAGAGAAGCTTCATTCAGATGCAAGGTATAGTGCTGCTGGCCCTAAGTTCAGTGTGAACGAATCAACAATTTAAATAAGACATACATAACAAAGTAATGTATTGACCATAGTTGCATGAATTATGTATTGATAGATTGATGAAAATGTTGGTGGGGCATGCGGTGGCTCATGCCTGCAATCCCAGCACTTTGGGAGGCCGAGGCGGGAGGATGACTTGAGCCCAGGAATTCAAGACCAGCCTGGGCAACATGATGAAACCCTACACGAAATATAAAAATTGGCTGGGCATGGTGGCTCACACCTATAATCCCAGCACTTTGGGAGACTGAGGCAGGTGGATCACGAGGTCAGGAGTTTGAGACCAGCTTGGCCAACATAGTGAAAGCCCGTCTCTACTAAAAACACAAAAAAATTAGCCAGGCATTGTGGCATGCACCTGTAATCCCAGCTACTCGGGAGGCTGAGGCAGGAGAATCGCTTGAACCTGGGAGGCCGAGGTTGCAATGAGCCAAAATGGCGCCACTGCACTCCAGCTCGGGTGACGGTGTGAGGCTCTGTCTCAAAAACGAAGAAACAAAAATTTGCGGGGTGCAGTGGTACGTGCCTATAATCCCAGTTACTCAGGAGGCTGAGGTGGGAGGATCGCCTGAGCCTGGGAAGTCAAGGCTACAGTGAGCTGTGATTGTACCACTGCACTCCAGCCTTGGTGACAGAGTGAGACCGTGTCTCAAAAAAAAAAAAAAAAAAAAAGTATTATGACCAGAGGCTTGTAAGAGTCTAACCCTGTATTTTCCCCAGGAGCAGTGGTTCATATTTGCTAATTCAGTATTGAATTATTATTGGTTAATTCAGTGTTTATGGCAACTTTACAGAACATAACCGCTGTGAGGCCGGGCGCGGTGGCTCACGCCTGTAATCCCAGCACTTTGGGAGGCTCAGGTGGGAGGATCATTTGAGGTCAGGAATTCAAGACCAGCCCGGCCGATATGGTGAAACCCCCATCTCTACTAAAAATACAAAAAATTAGCTGGGCATGGTGGCGCGTGCCTGTAATCGCAGCTACTCGGGAGGCTGAGGCAGGGGAATCACTTGAACCTGGGAGGCAGAGGTTGCAGTGAGCCGAGACCACACCACTGAACTCCAGCCTGGGTGGCAGAGCGAGCCTCAGTCTCAGAACAACAAAAACATAACCAGTGTGAATAACACTCATCGACTGTGTTTGTTATGAAAGGAGGCCCTGGGTCTTATATGCTTGAAAATCACATGGCAAGGGCGGCAGTTCCTGAGGCAGCAGGGAGAGGCACTCAGGGGACATGTGGATTCACAGTGTCAGCAAACACAGGGACGAGGGGTCCACTGTCCGGCTCTTTGCTCCTGTTTCTCTGGAGGTCAGCACTGGTGGCCGGTCAGAGCTGGCTCTGCATTCAGGAGCCTGAGCCTGTGACAGTGGCCCTGGGAAAGTCGGTGGGTCTCCCCATGGCCTCAAGAGCTCATGACCTGTTGTTGCCACAGTGTCTTAGGCTTTGCTGGGGCTTTCGAGCTCACGGGGCACTTCCATACACCCCACTCCATCCCTACCACTCCGGTGAGCATACTTTCTCCGGTGTGCATGGGCCCAACCTAACTCATAATTGTTTTGTTGTTTGTTTGTTTTGAGACAGAGTCTCGCTGTCACCCAGGCTGGAGAGAAATGGCGCAATCTTGGCTCACTGCAACCTGCAACTCCTGGGCTCAAGTTATCCTCCTGCCTCAGCCTCCTGAATAGCTGGGACTACAGGTGCGTGCCACCAGACCTGGCTAATTTTTGTAATTTTTTGTAGAGATGGAAGTTTTGCCATGTTGCCCGGGCTGGTCTCAAACTCCTAAACTGAGGGGATCCTCCTGCCTCAGCCTCCCAAAGTGCTGGGATTAAAGATGTGAGCTGCCATGCCTAGTTGATTCATAACTGTTTTTTTTTTTTTTTTTTTTTTTTTTTGAGACGGAGTCTCGCTCTGTCGCCCAGGCTGGAGTGCAGTGGCGCGATCTCGGCTCACTGCAAGCTCCTCCTCCCGGGTTCACGCCATTCTCCTGCCTCAGCCTCCCGAGTAGCTGGGACTATAGGCGCCCACAACCGCGCCCGGCTAATTTTTTGTATTTTTAGTAGAGACAGGGTTTCACCGTGGTCTCGATCTCCTGACCTTGTGATCCGCCCGCCTCGGCCTCCCAAAGTGCTGGGATTACAGGCGTGAGCCACCGCGCCCGGCGATTCATAATTGTTAATAGCTCCCCCTCTTGCTCTCAAAACTGTCCTAGTTTGGAAGACAAATTATATTGTCACCCCACTTATAACAAACTTGGAAGGAAGGCAGTAAAAGGGGGCCACACCCATGTCACTCTTGAAACCGAGATATACGAAGAATTCCTTAACTTTCCTAAGGCTCCAAGCTGAGGGGGCAGCAGGGCCAGGATTTGAACTCGGGGCTCCAATGTCCAATGGAAAGCACACTGTGCCAAGCTCCAGCTGCTGGGCCGAGGAAGACGCAAGGGAAACCTACCTGGTACAGCTCCTCCAGGGCCCTCTTCTCCTTCTGGAGTTTGGCGATGGAGTCTTCACGGAGTGAGAGGTCCCCGGTCAGGGTACGGACCTTGTGATCCAGGGCCTAGAAACCAGGGCAGGGAGAAAGGTAGAGCCTTAAAGCTGGAGGGAATCCTCAGCTTGGGTGTACTCTTGAGTCTCCTGGGAGCTTCAGAAATGCCAGTGCCCAGGGCATGTCTCAGACCAACCAAGTCAGAACCGTGGGGGTGAAGGGGAGCAGCAAGAACCTTGGCTTCTCAAAGCATGGTCCCCGGATGTCAGCAGTGGCATCCCCTAGGAGCATGCTAGAAATACAGACTCTCGGACTCCGCTGGGCCCGCCAGAGTCTGCACCTGACAGTATCCCTGGTGGTTTGTGTGTGCAGCAGAGCAGGAGAAGCTCAAGTTTAGGCAGAGCCCCCACTTACCCTGCTGGAGAACCCCACCTACCTGCAATAGCAGGTAGGGCCCTTGGGCCCAGGGGCCGGCCAGATGGCATCAGGAGCCAGGGCTTCCCCCAGGGAGCTGCTCAGAGGGGCAGCAACTGCTTGTTTGGGCAGAAATTCAACAGCTGAAGGTAGACACTTCAAAGTGATGGGAACACCTCTCAGTCCCCTTAGTCAGCTGCCCTGCCCAGCAGACCTGTCTGTAGTAACGGTCATGTTCTCTGCCTTTGCTGTCCCATGCAGTGACACTTACCGCACATGGCTGCTGAGCACCTGTAATGTGGCTTGTGCAACCGAGGAATTGCATTTTAAGTTGTAAATTAATGGATGTGACAATAGCCCCATGTGGGCTGGGTACGGTGGCTCATGCCTGTAATCCCAGCACTTTGGGAGGCCAAGGCGGGCAGATCACCTGAGGTCAGGTGTTCAAGATGAGTCTGGCCAACATGGCAAAACCCTGTCTCCACTAAAAATACAAAAATAGTTGGGCATGGTGGCGCCACACCTGTAGTTCCAGCTACTTAGGAGGCGGAGGTATGAGAATCACTGGAACCCGGGAGGGGGAGGTTGCAGTGAGCCAAGATCGCACCATTGCACTTCAGCCTGGGTGACAGAGTGAGAGCGAGACTCTGTCTCAAAACAAACAAAAAAGCTCAAAAAAAACCAAAAAAAAAACAAAAAAACGCCGCATATGGTCAGTGGTCAGGGCACTGGGCGTAGCCACCATAGGGGCTTCAGGTATGGCCCCTGACGGTGGCCTGAGAAAAGCGTGGCAGGGCCCTGGCCTCTCCTCACCTGCTTCTCCTTCTCTGTCTTGGCCAGTGTGGTTTCCAGGCCCTCCAGGTCCCGCTTCAGGTCACTCAGCTCCCCCTCCAGCTTGCGCTTGGCAGCACTCAGCGAGGCCGCTGTGCCCTCTTCCTCCTCCAGCCGCTCCTGCATGTCTGAGATCTGGCTCTCCAGATCCATCTTGGTCTTCATCATCTGTGTCAGGCGCTCCTCTGCATCCATCAGGTTCTCTTGCTCCTGTTGGGAGAAAGAGCCCCAGTGGCAGGCAGGGTCCAGGCAAAGACCACACAGCCTTGAGCTGAACAAATGTGTCCTGGGGGTTGGACAAGGGGCCGGGCTATCTCTGAGCTCCTTTTTTTTGTTTTTTGGTTTTTTTGAGTCAGGGTTTTGCTTTGTTGTTCAGGCTGGAGTGCAGTGGTGTGATCACAGCTCACTGCAGTCTTGACCTCCTGGGCTCAAGCAATCCTCCCACCTCATCCTTCCAAGTAGCTGAGGCTACAGGTACACACTGCAATGCCCAGCTAAGTTTTTTATTTTTATTTTTGAAACAGGGTCTCGCTCTGTCACCCAGGCTGGGGTGCAGTGGCACAATCATGGCTCACTGCAGTCTCGACCTTCTAGGCTTAAGCAATCCTCCCACTTCAGCCTCCTGAGTAGCTGGGACTACAGATGTGCCACCACACTCAGCTAATTTTTAAACTTTTTTGTAGAGATGGGGTTTCACTATGTTGCCCAGGCTGGTCTGGAATTCCTGGGCTCAAGCATTCCTCCTGCCTTGGCCTCCCAGAGTGTTGGGTTTACGAGCATGAACCATTGCACCTGGCCCAGGATGATTCTTCCATCACTTTAGTCTTGCCCAGCCTCAGCCTCCACAAACAAAATGGGGATATCAGTTCAAGCAACTTCTCAGGGGTCTGAAGAGGATACTGAGAAATGATGTTGGAGGCCTTTGGGGACGGTGAAAAGAAAATGCAAGTGCCACACATACTCATGGCTGCAGAGACAGCCGTGGCAGAGCAGGGAGGACTGAAGATGGAACTGGGCCCCTTCCAGGCCTGGATTTTCTACTAAGGGGCCTGGGACTTTGATCAAATCTCTAAATGTCTGCCAAACTGAGTTTTTCTACCCTGTATGACGCACGTGAAAATCGGGTGTCTTAACAGGGGGGTGGTGAGAGTCAAATCAGGGAAGGAATAGGAAAAACTTTGCAAACCAGAAGGACCCCAGCAGTGAATTCACCACGGGACATTTAGTCAGGCATCCTTCAGAAATGACATCGTTTATTCTTCCCTGCTGTGTTTCCCTGGACAGGTGAGGAAAAGGAGGCTTGGAGAGGGTAAATTGCCAAGTTCGTAGGGCAGAGCCCAGCCCTGACTCCAGGGGACGCTGTTCTCACCCCATCTCGTGGCCACCATCCCTGGACTTTCCCTGCAGGCAGGTCGTGTAGCTGTGTATGCCCAGCCTGCTGCTGTGTGCAAATAAGAGTTTGATGGAGACCAGGCACAAGGGCTCACACCTGTAATCCCAGCTCTTTGGGAGGCCGAAATGGGAGGATCACTTGAGGCTGGGAGTTTGAGACCAGCCTGGGCAACAGTGAGACCCTGTCTCTACAAAAAATACAAAAAATTGGCTGGGCGTGGTGGTATAGTCCCAGCTACTTGGGAGGCTGAGGTGGGAGGATCACTTGTGTCCAGGAGATGGAGGCTGCTGTGAGCTGTGATCAAGCCACCTCACTCCAACCTGGGCAACAGAGCAAGACCCTGTCCCTGTCTGTCTGTCTGTCTGTCTCTCTCTCTCTCTCTCTCTCTCTCTCTCTGACACACACACACACACAAATTGGATGGAGACCTTTTGGTAGTTGGGTCGAGGGTGACCTTGTATGCTGGAGAATTTCCCGTGGTCTGGAGGGACACGGATTTTCAAAAGAGCTCGCCCTTCCTCCCTCCCAGGGTCAAGGCTGTACTGGGTTCCCCACCCTTCTCCCCAGCGACCCCACGTACAGCCTGCAGCTGAATGGTGAGGTCATTCTTCTCCTGGCTGAGCGTGGCTGTCTTCTCCTCCAGTTCCTTAACCTTGTTTACCAGCTCCTGGGTCTTGGTCATGGCTTGCCTGAGCTCCTCCTCCTTGGCCTTCATCTCCTCCTCTTGCCGAGCCACATTCAGGAGCGGCTTGACCTGGGCAATGAGCAACACCAAAGAGCGTTAGGAGAATGGGCTTTGCCGGGGGGTAGACGGAGGGCGGTGGAGTCTCTGCCTCAGGTGTGACCTCACCGCACCACTGTGGTGGGAAGCAGCTTTGCTGTAACTCTGGGGTGGGGTCCCTCTCCACAGACGCCACCAGGCTGAACTTGTGTAAAGCATCCCTGGCCTCAACAGAGAAGGCCCATCCTCACCTAGGACAATTCTTAGGATGCTCTTTAATCCTGAGTGACATGGAGTCAGGTATCCTCAGCATCTGGGTGCCCCATGGCTTACATCTGTTCTGCATGTTGTGTAGACACCAGGAGCCCCGGTGAAATCACAGCCTTGGGATCCCCTCCCTCCTTCCTTCCCTACTGAATCCTCCCACTCTCTGGCGCTCTCAGTTTCTGTCTCTGTCTGTCAGTTTGCTGTCTCTCTCTCACCCACTGTTTCTCTCTCTCTCTGTGTCTCTGTCTTTCTCCTGCCATTCCTATCTCTGCCTCTCTTCTCAGTCTCTCTCTGTTGCTCTGCTCCCTCTCTGTTTTTCTCTCTCCCTGTCTCTCTTTCTCTGTCTCATGCTGTCTCTATCTTTGTCTCTCTCTCTGCCTGTCTCTCTGTTGTGCCGTCTCTCTCTTTGTTTCTCTCTCTCTCATTTTCTGTGCAGTTCTCTTTGTTTTACTCTATGTGTGTATCTCTCTCTCTGTCTCTTACTCTTTCTCTCTCTCTCTGTCTCTCACTTATTTCATCTTCTCTCTAACATGAAGTCCTACCTCTCGACTTGGCCTTGCAGGCCTTCCACAATGTAGCCCCATCCCTCCTCCTGCACTGTGTGGAGGAGGAGGGCTGACACTTCCCACCCTGGCCGGCGACCCTGCCCCTGTGTCTATAGGGCTGGGCCTTCTTTGCCATTTAGCCAGGAGCATTTGCTCCTACTCTGCACCCGCAACACCCACCGGGACCTCTCTGTGCACTTGACCCTTCTCACCTGCACTGGAGCACCAGGCTCCATCCAGTCCCACCACCCGTATTCTGCCCTGCATCTGCAAGCCCCTCAAAGACCTCCTCCCATCCCTTGAGGGTTCCTAAAACACCTAGCAGAGCTGGTGGGGCAGATCCCCTGGGAACCACAGAAACATTATACCATAGATACTATAGATACATAGTCAATAGATACATTTCCCAGGAGGAAAAATGACCTAGACACGGATTTGGGAGGAGGGACAGCCTGTGCCCCTTTTGAAAGATAACAGATAAACCTCGTTCATTGCCAGCCTGGCTGTTGAGAATCTGAAATGTCACAGTGGCAAAGCTGGCATGAAAAGGTTGCAGTAACCACTATACCTTGCCGCTGTGTAGCACTTTTTATTCAATGGAAACCTACTACAAGTGTTTTTTCATTGACCCAGCCTATCCGGCTTTGTTAAATAAGATTAGAACTTAGTTAGAATACTAAGAGGACAGGATTAAAAAAATTAAAAAAATAAAAAAAATTAAAAAGGCCAGGCGCGATGGTTCATGCCTGTAATCCCAGCACTTTGGGAGGCTGAGGCGGGCGGATCTCCTGAGGTCAGGAGTTCAAGACCAGCCAGGCCAACATGGTGAAATCCTGTGTCTACTAAATATACAAAAAAATTAGTCAGGTGTGGTGGTGGGTGCCTGTAGTCCCAGCTACTCAGGAGGCTGAGGCAGGAGAATCGCTTGAACCCGGGAGGCAGAGGTTGCAGTGAGCCAGATCGTGCCACTGCACTCCAGCCTGAGCAACAGAGCAAGATTTTGTCTCAACGACAACAACTAATTAGAACAGGACCTTGCTCTGTCAGGTCTAATTAGTAACGAGCAGGGGAGTTCACAGCTGTTGCTACCATGTCTTGCTCAGAAGGAACCTTAAAGGCCATTGGCCTGGGTCTTCCCAGAGTCTAATTGTATACCAAGGGATCTGGTGAGATGCATTCAAGCATAGACACCCTTTGATTTGAGTTGTGAAATAGTTACTTTAATAGGTAATTTAAAAAATGAAAAAGAACTCAAATCCACAATTTTGTGGATAATCTTTGCTTAGGATGAGGTTAAAGCAGGTAAGACTGCAAAGTTTCCTTTTAAAGTAAAATTTGTGGCTGGGAACAGTGGCTTACACCTGTAATTCCAGGAGGCTGGGGAGTATCACTTGAGGTCAGGAGTTCAAGACTGGCTGGGGTAATGTAGCAAGACCCTCTCTCTACAAAAAGTTTAAAAATGAGCTGGGTAGGTGCTGTGCACCTGTAATCTCAGCCATTTGGGAGGGCGAGGTGGGAGGATTGCTTGAGGCCAGGAGTTTGAGACCAGCCTGGGCAACATAGCAAGACCCTGTCTCTTCAACAACAAAAATTAAAAATTAGCTGGGCATGGTGGCACACACCTATAGTCCCAGCCATTTGGGAGGCTGAGGTGGAAGGATTGCTTGAGCCCAGGAGTTTGAGGCTGCAGTGAGCTATGATTGTATCACTGTACTCCAGCCTGGGCAACAGAGTCAGACCCTGTCTGAATTTTTTTTTTTTTCCAAAATAGAAAAGCGAGGCCAGGTGCAGTGACTCACATCTGTAATCCCAGCAGCACTTTGGGAGGCCAAAGCAGGCGGATCACCTGAGGTCAGGAGTTTGAGACCGGCCTGGCCAACATGGTAAAACCCTGTCTCTACTAAAAATACAAAAATTAGCCAGGTATGGTGGCAGATGCTTGTAATCCCAGATAGGAGGCTGAGGCAGGAAAATAACTTGAACCCTGGAGGCGGAGTTTGCAGTGAGCCGAGATTGTGCCACTGCACTCCAGCCTAGGTGACAGAGTGAGACTCCGTCTCAAAAAAAAAAAAAAAAAAAAAAAAAGTGAATGAATGTAAAGAAAGGTGAGTCATGGAACAGGCGGAGAAAGCCAGGCAGCACCTGCAACGCCTGGCCTTTGAGACATGCTCTTCTAGATTCCTCTCCAATCCCAGGTCCTCCAGGGCCGGCTTGTGTGTGGATACATTTGGGGAAGCAGAACTTACTATTCCTCCCTTTCCGTTTGTGGTGGGTGCTGATT